TTTAAAAAAATTAGAGCGTAGAGTGGCTCAGCAGTTAAGAACATGGCTGCTCTTGCAGAGGACCCAGTTCAGTTCCTAGTACCCACATGATGGCTAACAACCATCTGTAACTCCATCTGTAACTCTAGTTCTGGGGGATCTGACACCCTCTTCTGGCCTCTGGGGGTACCAGGCATATATGTGGTATACATACATACATGTAGGCAAAATTCTTGTACACATAAAATAAAAATAAACCTTTAAAACAACATAAATACAATCCATACCACAATTCTCAAGGCCATCACTGAACATGAAAGCAGCCACAGACAATACATAAATCAGTCAAGTGTGGCTTGTTCCAATACAACTTATTTGTAAAAACAGGCAAGTTTGTTGCCAGGTATAGTATGGCTCATGCCTATTATCCCAGCATTTGGGAGGTGGAGACAAGAGGACCAGGTATTCAAGGCCAACCTCAGTTACATAACAAGTATGAGTCTCAAAAAAACCTAATCAAGCCGGGCTGGGTGGCGCATGCCAGCACCATCCAGGTCTACATAGTGAGTTCCAGGACAGCTGAGGCTACAGAGAGACCCTGTCTCAAAAAGACCAAAAAAAAACCACCTAATCAATCAATCAATCAATCAATCAATCAATCAATCAATCATCAATCAGGCAGTTTGCTGACTCCTGCCCTACCACCATTTCCACATACCATCTCATTGTAGGTAGGGTTGCAGGTTTTTCGAGCCACTTTGGTTTTTCTCTTTGTGGTTTTCTGAGGATCAGGAAGGAGGTAAATTTTTACATAGGGGTCAGGGTCATTCCCATCCTGGAGCAGTTGCTATAATGGAATGAAAACAAAGAAGATGAGGATCCATACAGCACCTGTCTCTTCATCTTCCTGCCGCCATATTCTAATCCAGGTTCTTTATCAAAGATCTCTCTCTCTCTCTCTCTCTCTCTCTCTCTCTCTCTCTCTCTCTAGGGCTGGAGAGATGACTCAGTTGTTGTTTTTTTTTAATTTTATTTATTATTTTTATTTTATGTGTACGCATGCACTGCCTGCATGTAAGTGCACCCGTGTCGTGTAATGCCCGTGGAGGTCAGGAGAGGCTGTCAGATCCCCTGGATTGGAGTTATGGACAGTTGTTATCTGCCATGTGGGTGCTAGGATTCGAACCCAGGTCTTCTGCAAGAACAACCAGTGTTCTTAACTGCTGAGCCATCTCTCCAGCCCCAACTCAGTTGTTAAGAGTACTTGCTGCTCTTCCAGAGGACCAGAGTTTGGATCCCAGCAACCACATCAGGCAGCTCACAACTGCCTATAACTCCAGCTCCAGGGGATCTGCCATTTAGCTTCCACTGGCACCTGCACATACATGGCACAGGCACAGGTACACAAATAAAAAAATTAAATCATAAAAAAATTTTAAACCTCTCTCTAGCTTTTCTCAGTGCATACCTTTTTTTGCAGGGAGGTCTGCTTCCCAGCTTACTCCATGCTTATAAAAATATCTACCAGGGGCTGGAGAGATGACTCAGCAGTTAAGAGCACTGTCTGGTCTTGCAGAGGACCTAGGTTTAGTTCCCAACACCCACATTGTGGCTAACAACCATCCTTAATTCCAGTTCTGTCCTCTATGGGCATTTTGCACATGTGGTATTCTTACATATACGCAGGGAAATTACTCATACATATAAATAAAAATAAATTAAAATACTATGATCATGTCAAATAGTCTATTGAAACATCAATCAAGTTTCTTATTATATTAATTCTATATATTTTTTTAAATATTGTATCTATTATTTTTATTTTATGTGTAAGAATGTATTACCTGCATGTGTGTAAGTGCACCTGTGTTGTGAAATGCCCATGGAGGTCAGAAGAGGGCGTAAACAAGGGGTGTCAGATCCCCTGGAGTTGCGAATGGTTGATAATTGCCATGTGGGTGCTGGGAATTGAACCTGGGTCCTCTGCAAGAACATTCAGTGTTCTTAACTGCTGAGCCATCTCTCCAGGCCCTCAATTCTGTATCTTGTATCTAAATGCTGGAAATATGGCAATTAACAGTGCTTCCATTTCTTACAGAGGACTCAAGTTTAGTTCCCAGCACCCACACTGGGTGGCTCACAACCACCTGCAACTCCAGCTCCAGGGGATCTGACACCCTCTTCTGGCCTCCTGGAGTACTTCTCATCCCACATGACATACATTTGCACAAACACACATAGATACATACATACAAATAAAAATATTTTTAAAAATCAATCTAGCGATCAATCAATGTTGGGATAATGCAGTATTTTAAATAAACCATCAAGTCTACCCAGGCATCTTTTCTCCATGCTATTTTGTCATTTGGTCCCTTTAGCCCCTACAAGGCAGAGACACGAGTCAGAGAGGATAAGTTGTTTGTTCAAGGTTGGCTAACTGCCGATTTACTCAGCTTGACTCTATTTAGGTTTTCATTTTGTTTTTTTAAAATTATTTTTAGATTTCCTTATTTCCTTATTTTGGTCTTTTTGAGACAAGGTTTGTTTCCTTGTAGCCCCAGCTGGCCTGAAACTCACTATACAGACCAGGTTGGCCTTGAACACACAGAAATCTACCTGCCTTTGCCTCCCAAGTGTTGTATAAAGGCATGCACCACCATGCCTGGCCAGATTTATTTTTATTTTATGTGATGAGTGTTTACCAGCATGTATGTAAGTGCACCTGTGTCATGCAATGCCCACAGAGCCCAGAAGAAGGCACTGGATACCCTGGAACTGGAGTTACTGATGGCTGTTAGCTGTCATGTAGGTGCTGGGAACTGAACTCAGGTCCTTTGCAAGAGCAGCCAAAGGTCTTTTTGTTGTTGTTGTCTTTTTGAGACAGGGTCTCCTGTAGCCCCAGCTGACCTAGAACTCATTATGTAGGTCAAGCTGGCTTTGAACTCAGAGATCCACCTGCCTCTGCCTCCAAAGTGCTGGGATTAAAGGTGGGCACCACCACACCCCAACTCAGCCAGTCCTCTTTAACCCTTGAGTCATCTCTCCAGCACCTTGGTTTTTGTTTTTAGGCAGCCCAACCCATAGTCTCCAGCACACTAGCATGCATTCCACCTGAGCCACATCCTCCAGACTCCCAAGATTGATCTTTTTCTGGGGGGCGGGTGGGGGGAGTCTTTTGAGACAGGGTCTCCCTGTAGCCACAGCTGGCCTGGATTCACTATGGAAACCAGGTTCTAGGCTGGCCTCAAACTCACAGATATTTCTGCTCCTGAGTGCTGGGATTAAAGGCATGTGCCACCATGCCTGGCCAAGACTGATCCTTTTAACACTTAGGTCAAAACTCAGAGTGGTGGCTCATGTTTGTAATTCTAGCACTTAGGAGGCTGAGGCAGGAAGAGTGTCTTGAGTTCAAGTTCAAATGCCTGGGCTACATATTGTGTTCCAGGCCAGAGTGGGCTAGCATAAGAACATGTCTCACAGGGCTGGAGAGATGCCTCAGCGGTTGAGACTGCTCTTGCAGAGGACTCGGGTTTGATTCCCAGAACCCACATGGTGGCTACAAACCATCCTTAACTCCAGTTCTGGGGAATCCAAAGCCCTCTTCTGGTCTCTGAGGCACTGCACAACACAGGTGCACTCACATACATGCAGGCAATATACTCATACACATAAAATAAAAATAAGAAAATAAATATTAAAAAAAAGAACCTGCCTCACATACACACAAACAAACAAACATACATACATAAAACCCAAACCCTCCAAACACTTAAGTCAGACTATATCAAATCTGCCTTTAAGGATTCATATCAGTGTTGAAATCAGAGTCCTTACTGTGGGGCCCAGGCTCTAGGGGAGGATGCCTCTCCAACTTACCCACTAGCTCCTGATGACCATTCACTCCATGGGCTTTGGCCAATAGGACCTTGCAGTTCCTGATAAGGCAAAGCAGGCTTCCTCCAGAAGTCAGGATATAAGCTTTAAGATCTAATTGCTCGTCATGCCTGAAACACTCCTCTCTCAGATATACACATATAGTGCCCTTCCTCACCTCCTCATCACCAGGCCATCCCTATCTCTTAATATAAATGCTAGCCTCCTGCTTCTCCTAGATTCCTTCTCTGCTTCATTGCTTGTGCAGTTCTTTTTTAAAAATATTCTATTTATTATTTTTTATTTTATGTGTATGAGTATATTGCCTGCATGTAGGTAGGCACATTGGTGTTGTGTAGAGTCTTTGGAGGTCAGAAGAGGGCATCGGACTCCCTTGGAACTGGAGATATGTATGGTTGTTAGCTGCCATGTGGGTCCTAGGAATTGAACTTGGGTGCTCTGCAAGAACATCTCTGTCTTAACTGCTGAGCCATCTCTCCAGCCCCATCTTGTGCAGTTCTTACCTCATCTCACATGCCGTATGTTTTACTTGTCTAATCTGTGTGCCTTTTCCAACCGAAACGTCAGCTCCCTGGGGAAGGATTTTGTTTTACATTCCTTCTCCTGTATCTAGGGATAATGTGTTAGTAGGTGCTAGATGAACATTTGTTGATGAACAAATGTGAAAGTGACACCAAGGTTTCTTTGCCTCCAAAGCTCATGCATCTCCTGCTATAACCCAAAATTCCAATCTCCATGTAATGAGCAACACGGGGTACGCAGCACACTGCACATTTCCAACAAAAGTTCCTTTTCTATTCACAATGTTCTTAGAACCTGTACAAAATCAATTATATACTGCCTTGAGTATGCTTGAAGAATGTCCAGCGGCTGCCCTGTATATTCTCACAGACTCATCTGCTGATCTATCACTATAACCAGGTAGCAAGCTCCCAGGCCTCTCCTTTATAACACTGGAATTACCACTACCACACTAATATTCAGAAAGGTACATACTTTCATTGTGTTATCTCATTTCACTCCCACAACAACCCTTGGAAGAAGGGATTGACATCATCTTCCTTACAATGAAGCTCATATAGTACTTAGGATATTGCCATAGACCACAGCAAGCAACCAGCTGTGTCTTAAATTGCCTGGTCAACCGCAGGCCTGGCACTGGGCAGCCTGTGGTGGATGCTCAGTAAACTTTTGTGGTTACTCTCATGACATGGAGTCAGAGGAGGACTGACTAGTCCAAAAAATACCAGCAGAAAGATCAAGGACCAAAGAAAGCTGTAAATGTACTTACCAAACCCCGAATATGCATCACCATGATGAAGAGTTTGTTGTTTTTGTAGGAGATAGACAGCTTCACCTCCCCACCAACTTTCCCAACAGGCCGGGCCCATGTGCCATCTGTAGGGACAAAGGAAAATGAGGAAGGTTCATGAGCCAGCAGTGTCCCAACTGGTGCCAGGTAGGAATTTCAGCTTTCTGACTGAAGCCCTGCCCCACCCTCCATGTCAGGGCTCTGGTACTGAGGGGGTCTGGAATGAGTTTAGAGTTGAGCTGGGATGAGTCTACCCTATCTGAGGGTATAATCACTAACTGAATGTCCATCTTCTGGGGAACACAGCTATGGAGCTGTGGACCCCACAGGCTGAATGGAAAACTGGATTCCCTAGCAAGTAAGCAAAGGAACAAGAAAGAAATCAAAGAAGGTTGGCAAGGGGCAGGGGTGTGGTTTGGCAGGACTGGCAAGATTGTCACCAGGAAGCTACTGTACCTGAGGACTTTGGAGCTGCACTGGTGCCTGCAGCCTTCTCATCCCGGGACAAGGGGTGGAAGAAGGTGTACACCAGATCACACTGGAATACAGAGAACAAGGCCACTCTTCAGCAAGACATGGCCCAGTGAGAAAGGAAGGATGATGGCTAGCCCAAATCATTTTTTAATTTATTATTGTTTTATTTTTTTATGTGTATGAGTGTATTGTCTGCATGTGTGTAAGTGCGCCCGTGTTGTGCAGCGCCAGAGAAGTCAGAAGAGAGTATTGGATTCCCCCTGGAACTGGAGTTATGGACTGTTATTAGCTGCCATGTGGGTGCTGGGACTCAAACCCAGGCCCTCTAGAAGAACAGCCAGTGCTCTTAACCATTGAGCATCTCTCCAACCCCAAATCCTTTCTTTTTTTTTGTCCTTTTGAGACTGGGTCTCCCTGTAGCCTGAGCTGATCTGGAACTCACTATGTAGGCCAGGTTGGCCTTGAACTCACAAAGATTCACTGCCTCTGCCTCCCAAGTGCTGGGGTTAAAGGCATGTGCTACCGTGCCTGGCAACCAAATCATTTTTTTAAAAGAAAAAAAGCTAGAGTGGGATAGAGTAGGGGAGTGAACCTGAACCCCTGTAATCTCATCATTCAGGAGATAAAGTGCGGAGGACTGCTAGGCTGGCCTGGTCTGCAAAGTGAAGTTTAGGCTTGCCTGGATTATAGACTGAGACACAGTAAGACCCTGTCTCATAAACCAAAACCAAAACCAAACCAAACCAAACCAAAATAAATAAATAAATAGGCCACTTCAGGTCAAAAGCAGTACATTCTTTTCTACTCTTGCCTCCTCCACTCCCCTATCAACACATACACTTGGAGAGACATGCCTTAGCCAGTCTGGGACAGAAAACACAAACCTTTTTCTGGAGAATGTTTAAAACTAGGCTTGGGAAATAAATAAAAAATAAAAAACCTAGGCCTGAGGTAGATCCCATCATGGATCAGTGCTTGCTAATCCTCTGCAGAGCCTGGTGCTGCTAATTCACCAGCTAGATCCTGCTGACTCCTCAGGACTCTGATCCTTCCTCTCACATCCCACACCAGTTACTCACCTCAGCCACCTCTGGGGCAGCATGGATCAAGTGCCAGATGTAGCCGTTTAGCTCTTCCCTCCGGCGCTCAGCCATTGCCTCTCCCCTAGAGCGGCCAATCACAAAGCGACTAGGGAAGCTAGAGCGGCAGGCAGGAGAGAGATAATGAGGATGGAGAAAGATAATGAGGCTTTGTGGACATTTATTTTTATTTCTTTTAAAGATTTATTTATTTTATGTATATGAGTGTTTTAGCTGCATGTCTATAAGTGCACCATTTGTGCCTGGCATCCACGGAGGCCAGAAGAGGGCATCTGATCCCCCTGGAACTGTAGTTACTGGACAGTTGATAGTCACCAGGTGGATGCTGGGACCTGAACCCAGGTCCTCTGACAGAACAGTCAGTGCTCTTAACCATTGAGTTATCTCTCCAGGCCCTATTTTTTATTTTTTTGAGACAGGTCTCACTAGGTAGCCTTGGCTGGCCTGGAACTGGCCATGTAGACCAGGCTGACCTTGAATTCACAAAGACCCATCAGCTACTGCCTCCCAGTGCTGGAATTAAAGGAATGCGCCACCACACCTGGCCCCTTTGTGTACATTTCATTTGCATTTCTAGTGGATCCTCATTTCCCAGCAGTTTCTCTTCTGGGAAGACCTTCACCTACCTGACTCCTACCAGACCATATGCACCCAAATGGTATGGGTCTCAGACTCTGTCTCACTCTCTCCTCCTTTCTCTCTTGCACACGTATACAACATCCTCCCCCACACTTCCTGGAACCCCAGATAAGAAAAAAATTGGCCATATTAAAATTTCTGTGTACAGGGGCTGCAGAGATGGCTCAGCAGTTAAAAGCACTAACTGCTCTTGCAGAGGACCCGGGTTCGATTCCCAGCACCTACATGGTGGCTGCTAACAATCCTTAACTCTAGTTCCAGGAGAATCCAAAGCCCTCTTCTCACCTCCGTGGCATTGCGCGACATGGGTGCACTCACACACAAGCAGGCAATACACTCATACACATAAAATAAAATAAATAAAATATTTTTTAAAAAAGATTTCTGTGTACAGTTCTGTGGCATTGGGTACATACACAATGCTGTACAACTTTCACCATCAGTCATGTCCAGAACTCTTCATCTTGCAAAACTGAAGCATAACACCTTTTAAACAATGCCTTAACCAGGTTCCATTCTGTCTCTATGAATCTGACCACTCTAGGGGATTCCAGTAAGTAGAATCTACTCCAATAAGTAGAATAAGTTTTGAATCTTCTTGTGATGTAGATTTCATTTAGGTTCATTCATGTTTTAACATGTGTCAAAGATCCTTTCCTTTCAATGCTAAATAGTCCACTGTATGTATTTACCACTTTAACCATTAAGAAAATGATTTATTTCTTTGATAAGCTGGAAACTCTGAGTCATGTTCATATTCAACCAGTGCCCCTCCTTCCATCAGCTCCAGCTAGCTTTCCTTCTTAGGTTGGTGGGCCCATGCTTATTTTCAAGGCTAGAGCAGGGGGAGCACTTGTTACAAAATCCAACAGCAGGCCCCGTGAAGTGTAGTCCAGCCAGCTCCATCCCTTTCCCTCCCCAGTATCTCTCAGTTCAGAGAAGAGTAAGGGTAACTACCTGGGCAGGAAGGAGGAAGGGAAGAGCAGGCGCAGCTTATTGTGAAGCTCCTGGAACTCCTCAAACGTCCTCTGGATGTAAGTTGCCTCATGAGCATTCTCTCGCATCACTTTTACCACATATATCTGCAAAGGCAAAAACTCAGAATACTGACCTTCTGTACTTAATAGAGGAAGCAGTGGGGGAGAAGTATATGTGTGCTAGGTGTGTGTGTGGGGGGGGGTACTTTCCAGAAGGAAAGGGTCTCTGTCTCTAGTGGAGAAAAGATGGTAGGCAGGCAAAGATTTCCTGCCTGGGTCTTATAGGACACATGCCTCAGGGAGTTAAAAACCAATTCAGCTCCCTGACTATACAGGTCACCAGAGGAAAGGCGGGGAAGTGGCGTGGGATTGCTCCTAGTACAGGAGCCTTGTGAACCCAAGGCCCAAGAGTCAGAACCCCAAGAAGATAAGTCGGTGGGGAACAAGAGACAGAGTGGCGCAAAGACTTACATAGCCTTTGTTGGGGTGGAAAATCTTCTCATGACGGCAGAGAAAAACGTCACTGATGCGGCCGGAGCTCTTGAGAGTATGTGTTCGGGAGGCAAAGGAAAGGGTCAGTCTGTCATCCGAGCCTGTGAACTTCATCTGAGCCAGGTTGTGGATGAAAAAGTTGAGCTTTGTGGCTACGCTGCCCAGGCTGGATTCAATCAATCTGTTGGTCCAGGACGATGGGAAACAAAGGATGTAACTATAGATTCAAAATACCCTCTGCTTTGGCAAAGCTATCCAAGTGGACATTCCTGCATCCTGGGGTTTTATCAAGTTTTTTTTTTTTTTTTTTTTGTGGCCATTCGGAAGTTGTAGGCTGTATTAGAGACAGAACCTCTAAATCAGGAGTAGAACTCAAGCAACTAAGGTATTTAGTGCTTACTGAATACCCTTGTTGTGTACTGTTATGGGCGTTGGTGATATGCATGATGCATTTACATAAATGTCAACCAAATGGAAATTCCTCCACCCTGGGGTTTTTTCAAATTTTTTTTTTTTTTTTTTTTGGTGATGGGAGGAAGTAGGGTCTTACTATATAGCTGGCCTTGAACACCCTGCATTGCCCAGATTAGCCTCAAATTCATGGTGATCCTCCTGCCTCAGCCTCCTAAATATGTTATATGTTAACATCTCTGAGTAGTCCTAAGACTAACAACTAGCTCAAATCACTTTCCCAAAGTAATAACTTCCTGGAACACATGATTGACACACAATTATCTCATGCACTTTATTTTGTGAATCCTGGGTTCTTAGTTCCATTTTTTGTTCTCCGGTCAAGACAGCCAAACCAAGGTAGAAGGGAATTTGAGACAGCAAATGTCTAAATAGTACTATGAAATGGGGTTCAAGGACCAAGCTAAGCATTGCTCAATCTGAAGACTGAAACTTTTTTTTTGGTCTTTTTTGAGACAGGGTCTCCCTGAAGCCTCAGCTGGCCTGGAACTTGCTATGTAGACCAAGCTGGCCTAACTCACAGATTCACCTGCCTCTGCCTCCCAAGTGCTGGGATTAAAGGCATACGCCACCACACTGGGCTGAGATTTCAACTTTTAAGTGAGGTCCCATGAAAGGGGAAGGATCTGGGTAAAAGAGTTAAAACCATTATAAAATATGGAATCTCACTGGGTGCCGTGGCACACACCTTTAATCCCAGCACTTGGGAGGCAGAGGCAGGTAGATCTCTGTGAGGTCAAGGCCAGTCTGGTTTACATAGTGAGTTCCAGGCCAGCTGGGGCAACTACCTCCTAGACAAAATCGCTGGTTGGGACTTGGTAAGAATACATATAAATGATGACCACAGCCCTACTGATACAAGTTAGTCCCAAAATGCAGACAGGAAACTGAGCTTAGAGAATAAAGTGATTACCAGGCAAAACTGGGATATCAGATCCAATTCCAGGCCTTGACACCCGGGTTAAGCTTGTCCTACTTCTGTAGCCCACTCCTGCCAACCTGGCAGCTTGTGGACTGCTTGAGTGTGCAGCACTGGTTTGTGCTGTGTGTTACCTAGTGAAGTAGGTGGTAGCATTGGCCTCTGTGTCTTGAGGCCTCAGAGCATCGTACACATACTTGAGGTCCTCCAGGTCTGAGAGCTCAGGGATTCCACAGGACAACATCTAGAAGAGGAAAGGAGAGGTACCTATAACTACAGCAAAGCTTGCCTCTCTACCCTAAGGCAACATTTTCTATATTTGATTCCCTGATCCTTCTAGGCTATAGATGGGTGCTGTTAGGCAGTGGTTAGGGGGGCCACAGGAACTGAGGAACTGAATGAGGGGGTCAGGCACCACTGTTCCCAGTTGTTTGGGTCTCTGCCTTTAAGGAACACAGGGCGCGACTGGGGCTCAGAGGAGATCTCCAGGAATTTTCTGAAACAAGCCAGGGCATAAGAAAGAGGTGTTCAGAAAGGGATGGAACTCCTCACCAGGCCCAGAAGGTTGAGGAAGAGGTGGGTGTGCTTGCGAATGAGGTTGTAGGCTTGGCAGCAAAGGTCAACAAAATCATGGAAGCGGCTGGAAGGCTTGTCACCCCCGTTGATGACATACGCCATGTCCGAGGTGAAGACAAATGGGGCACGGTCCCTGGGCCAAGGGAACATACAGGTAGAAGGTCAATGTGGAGAAGGAAGGTCATCCTATGGGCTCCACTGGGGGATGATTTCCTACACTCTCATTATGTGTTCTGACCTGGGAGCTAACAATACTTTATCCCAGCTACCCAATTGCATTTCCCTTTTGCTGTAGCTTGGACTCTTATTCCTTTGTTCAGTTTTCAGTGAGGGGGGAGACCAGGTGGTCTTCACCTTCCACAGGGCTCTGCACAAGCTTATCAGTTTTCTCTTCTTCAGAGCAGTTCAGCCCAGGGACAATGGTTTGAGGCCCAGTTCCTTCCATCAAAGGCTGGTGTCTCAGCTCTGAACCACTGCTGCCCTCCATACATGAGGCCACTTACCTCTTGATGTTGCCAAACATCTGGGCATGGCCCAAGAAGCGGCCAAAATCTATGTGGAACATGTGTCCAGTGGTCTTCAGCATGATGTTGTCATTATGTCTGTCACAGATGCCCAAGACATATGTGGCCACACAACAGCCAGCACAGGAGTAGATGAAGTTCTCCACAGCCTGTGAGAATGGAGGCAGGTAGTAGGGCCACAGCCAGACTGAGTTCTGGCCTGGCCTCCCTCTCATGTAAACCCCAACAGCACCCAATACCTGACTATTCATCCTTATCATATACTGAGATAAATGTTTATGAACATAGAAACATCTTCCATGGGAGACAGTGGGCTGATTGAAAAATCCCAACATGAGCAGCCCAGATTGGGAGACCTTAGTGGACAGAAAGACTGATGTTTCAAACTTCCAACAGGTTGCGGTAATCCTGACTCAAGTGAGCAGTAGAACTAAGCATGCCTGCCTGACCTTGCTCAAAATTCATCCATTCTTCTTCCTGCCCTAAATAACACTCCATTCCCAGAGTGTTTGATCCCAGCTAAATGTTTACCTAATGAAAATTACTGCACTCCAAAGAAGAGCTGAGCCAGCATCACACTTCCTGAAGTGTTTTACACTTGAAATTCAGACATCTCTATTTGGCAAAATGTGTTGAGAGATATTTTGGGGTTCAAAGGAGGGGGAAGGTTAGGGAGATGGCTCAGCAGATAAGAGTACTTATTCTGCAAGCCAGAGAATCTGAGTTTGTTTTTGGTTTTTTGTTTGGAGACAGGATCTCTCTGTAGCCCTAACAGGCCTGGAACTCACTATGTAGACCAGGCTAGCCTTGATCTCACAGAGCTCTCCTGCCTCTGCCTCTCCAGTGCTGGGATTAAAGGCATGTGTTACCATGTCCATCGAGGTCCTGTGTTTGAATCCCTAGAAGCCACATAAAAATCAGGGCATGGTTGTGCATGCCTGTAACCCCAGTATGGTGGGGCGGAGACAGGCAGATCCTGAGAGCTCACTGGCCAGACAGCCTAGCCAAAACAGCAAGCCTCTGGTTCAGTGTGAGACCATGGCTAAGGACAATAAAGCAGAGAGCAGAGAGCGATAGAGGAAGACACCTGATGTCCTGTTCTGGCCCATGAGAGTGTGTGTACAAAGAGGAGGAAGAAAGGCAGTGAGGGCCAAGTCCACTTTATTTTGTTTGGTCAACATCTGTCTACTTTTCTACCCCTTTAGGAAGTAAAACTACATTGGATTTATAGATGAAACCCTTTCACCATGTAAATCTTCTTATAAAGCTTGAAGATTTTCCCCAAACTCAGGAAAGGCAACAGTGGGCAAGAGCCAACTAGGAATACACAAAATTAAGAATGAGAAAAATGTCATAACCAACTAGGAATGTATGGAATTGGGAATGAGAGGAAGCTTGGCAGATTCAGAATGCCTGCCTTCCCTCTGGGAATCTCCATGCATCTTCCCAGAGCCCTCCTTGTTTCCATTTTTCCAAACCTTCCCAGTTCACATTGGCTGCTCCTCCACTGAGTGTCTCCAGGCCCACTGCCTGTTCACTCAGTGCCTGGGTTTTTCAGATCCCCAGGTTTAGGGATTCAATCTCCCAACATATTCTTGGCTGTCTTGCAAAGAAATGCTGCAAAAGGAGCTACATCAAGTAGCTAATCTAATTACATCCAGTTACTCATCTAATTACAGCTAGGCGAAAAGGCCACTGGAAACCAAGGACAGAAAGTTTATAAAGATATCATAGAATCTGGGGCAGGAGAGATGGCTCAGTGGTAAAGAGCAGTTGCTGTTCTTGCAGAAGACTGGGGTTCAGTTCCCAGTATCCACATGGTAGCTAACCACCCCTAATTCCAGTTCCTGGGGATCTGATACTCTTTAGGGTACATGCACCTGGTATGTTTACATACGTGTAGGCAAAACACTCATGCACATAAAATTGAAAAAAACAGTCTATTTCTTAGAAAGCAATCTGGGGGTGGAGAGAGATGGCTCAGCAGTTAAGAGCACCAGTTATACTTACAGAGTACTGGATTCCGTTCCCAGCACCCACATGGTGGCTAACAACCACCTGTAACTCCAGTTCCAGGAGATCTAACACCCTCTTCTAGCCTCCGTGGGCATAACATGCACAGGTACACTTACATACATGCAGGCAAAACACTCATACACGTAAAATAGAGAAAAGTCTATGAATGAAAAGCAATCACTCAATAAGAAGCATAACCTACCCACTTCCAGTTTTGACCTGCATCTTCATCAATTCTGCTGCTGTCACAGGTATTCTTTGAATCTTAGATGATTCCTGTGTAGCTCACAAATAGCTGTATTGGTGCCACCAGTAATGTCCCCACTCCTACTATCCCCTGAATTGGGCAGGGTTTGAGTCTTGATTTATATGGGAACCCCCTCCTGATTTAAAGGTCTCATGTACAGGACATGGGTGCTGTTTACTGGCCAAGCTCTTTCTTCTAAACATTACCATTAATATTGTGGCTCACACCTGTAATCCCAGCACTCAGGCTGAGGCAGGAAGGTTATATGTTCCAGGCTAGCCTGAGCTACACTACAGAGTAAGGCCCTATCTCAAAAGCAAACAAAAAAATTAACAATTAGTTTCTACGTGTGTATCTGCTTGTACATTCTTCCACCACATTTATTGACTTGTTAGTATGCTGGCAGGGAGCAATTATAATTTCAACACCTAGCACAGTGCCTTGATATGGTAGGTGTTCAACACTTGAAAAACATGTTAGTATAAATAGCATATGGGACAGAGCAAAGAATCAGTCTTAGTTCTCCCCAAGGGTACTACATTGCTCTATGTTGGAACATAAGTTGGCATACAAATGGAGGTACAGGGCTTGAGACTGAGGCAGGCTGGGTTAATGAGCTGGGTATGGTAGCACATGCCTTTAACCTCAAAAGATGGGAGGCAGAGACGGGGGATCTCTGTGAGATCAAGGCCATCCTGGTCTATATAGTGAGTTCTAGGAACAGCTAGGGCTGCAGAGAGATCTTATCTCAAAGGCAAAAAATGAAAGAAAAAAAAAAAAAAAAGGAATGCAGAGGGCACCACCCCTGGTCAATTGATCATGATCCAGTAGATGGCTCCACACCCGGAAGTATATGGACAGCACAAACTGGAGTCAAAGGGTTATGAAATATTTTTTTAAAGTGCAGAGATAGCACAGGGGGCCAGGAATCAAACCCTTGGGACCACAAACTCTTCAGTCATTTAAAATAATCTAATTACACATTCACTAAACATATGCTGATTATAATTTGGCTGCCTACATGTCTTCCTCAGGAATAAAATGCATTGATCAATATAAATTAGTATTTGCATTCACTTAAAGTGAAATTTATAGAGGTTAACATTCTGAGATTTTTAAAAATTTATTATTTTTATTTTATGTGTATGAATGTATTGCCTGCATGGAGGTAGGTGCACCCATGTCATGCAATACTGTAGGAAGACAGAAGAGGGTGTCGGGTCCCTTGAACTGGAGTTATAGATGGTTGTTAGCTGCCATGGTGGGTGCTGGGAACCAAATCCTGGACCTCTGCAAGAGCAGCCAGTGCTATTAACTGCTGAGCCATCTCTACAGCCTCCATTCTGGGATTTTTTTTGGGGGGGGGCTATCTTTTTGAGACAGGGTCTCTCTGTAGACCCAACTAGCCTGGAAATCTCTATGTAGACCAGGCTGACCTTGAACTCAGAACCCACCTGCCTCTGCCTCCCAAATGCTGGGATTAAAGGCATGAGCCACCACTCCTGGCTCCCATTCTGATATTTTATTGTGACTTGTCCACTCCCATTTTCACCCCAAATCTCATTAACCCAAAGATTAGAGTCATGAATCTGTGGCCTGGCCATGGGCAACAGTAGGTCACCAAGGCCCTACAACCCATAGAAAGCTTCCATTCTCCCCTTCCTTCTTCTAGTCAAAGTCCTCTTTGCTCTTATCTCAATCTCATCACTGACCCCAATCCTGCCTTCAAGTTATAGTTAGTCTTGCACAGCCAGCTTCCCTACTTGGAGCAAGGGTTGTGTCTGACTCATGCCCAGAAAAAGGTCTGGATTAAAATGCTATCTAGGGGGCTGGAGAGATGGCTCAGCAGTTAAGAGCACTGGCTGCTCTCACAGAGGTTCTATTCCCAGCACCCACCTGGCAGCTAACAACTGTCTAGTTCCAGGGGATCCAATGCCCTCTTCTGATCTCCACAGGCACTACACGACATGGGTGCACTTATATACAGGCAGGCAATGCACTCATACACACAAAAATAAAAATAAATTTTTTTTGTCTTTTTGAGACAGGGTCTCCCTGTAGCCCCAGTTGGCCTAGAACTCACTATGTAGACCAGGCTGGCCTTGAACTCACAAATATCCATCTGCCTCTGCCTCCCAAGTGCTGGGATTAAAGGTGTGCACCACCACACCCGGCAAAAATAAAATATTTTTAAAAATGTTATCCAGGGCTGGAGTGATGGCTTAGCAGTTAAGAGCACTGGCTACTCTTGCAGAAGACTTGGGTTCGAATCCCAGCATCCACATGGTGGCTAACAACTGCCTGTAACTGACACCCTCTTCTGGCCTCTGTGGGCAATGCAAAACATAGGTGCACTTACATACATGCAGGTGTTAACACTCATACACATTAAAAAAATAAATAAAAACTTTAAAAAATGATAAAATGCCTCCTCGAACCACCTCACATTCTATTCAGCATCACTGAAGCCCTCTGAGAGTATGAGAGGAACTGACCAGGATCCATAATTAGGAGGGATACAGGTAGGCTCTCAAAAGCTGCTTCCCCATCCCTTGAAACTCAAGGACGGTTTCTCTGACCAATACTGGAGAATTTTCTGTTAGCTTACAATAATAATGTGACCACCTCTATTTCACAGAAACATTGGTCCACAAAGATCCATCCCTCCCTCAGCAAAGCATGCAGGTCTGGTGGTAGCAGAATCATGTGCCACAGTCAGGCACACTGCCCCATCTTTGGACCCCTGACATCCCCTGTGCAGGATAGCTTCAGTTGTCAACATGATACACCTGGGTAGAGGGAGCCTCAGTTAGGGAACTGCCTCCATTGAACTGGCCTGTGGCCATATCTGTGGGGTATTTTCTTGACTATTCAGTTATGTGGGAGGGCCCAGCCCACTGTGGGTGATGCCACCTGAGTAGACTGTTCTGTGTTATATAGGAAAGCAGGCTGAGCACGGGCCAGGGAAGCAAGTCAGTAAAAAGTGTTCCTCCTTGGCCTGTGCTTCAGTTCCTGCCTCCATGATCCTCCCCTGAGTTTCTACCTTGGGCTCCCTGATAAACTGTGACCAAAAATAAACCCTTGTAAGCCAAATAAACCCTTGTAAACCAAATAAACCCTTTCTTCCCCAAGTTGGTATTGGTCAGAGTGTTTTGCCACAGCAATTGAAAGCAAACTAGAACACAGCCCCCCATACCTTCTCATATTCGTCCTCCCCAGGGTTGTGTTTCTGCAGCCAGTCAGCCAGGGGCCGGTCCTTGAAGGAGCCAGTCACCCCATGTTCCACCTGGATCTTACGCAGTGTCTCAGCATTGGGGATCATTTCTACCATCCCTGGAAGAGAAGAGATTGGGGTCATGTTTGGACCAGAGTGAAGAGGGCTGAGGGGGAAAGGTCTGCCATAGTTGGACTGGATACTTCCCATGAGTTAAGCTTCAGGCTCTTTGGACAAAGTGTGCTATTAGGAGGAATACATGACAGTGGAAACAAAGGTCACACCTGCATCCACAGTCCAGAGTGAGTCCAGGTTTCCCCCAGCTCATGAAGCTGCGCCTTCTCTCCCTTCAACTTTTACTACCGATGTTTTCAAATATATAGCTTCAACAATGATCAACACTTGTCTAATTTCACTTCATCTTCCACTACTCAACTAGCTTCCTATTTCCTGCCCTAGTGGAGTACTGTTAAGCAAGGCAGGGTTCCACTCTATAAACCAAGCTGGTCTTGAACTAGTGGTTCTATCTCAGCCTCCTGAGAGATGGGAATACAGGAATGTGCCATCATGCCCTGCTTTAGACATGCCCCTTCACGCATAAATATTTCAAGTGTAAGTAACAAGGATATCAGTGCCATTGTCACGTCCAAAGAACTAACAGTGGCTCCTTAAGCCAGTTTATTTTCAAATTGCTTACAGGCATCCCCAAACTACTTTACAATTGGTTTGTTTACGAACCCAAGTCCACTGAGGTTGCTAAGCCTCCAAGTCTGTTTTGTTTCGCAACAGTCTCTCTCCCTTGAATTCTTTTTTCATGTCACTCTACATCTCCTAGAATAATCCTGCCCTTCTATTCTCTATTGTTCATGTTGGAAAACAGTCAGAAAGGCAGTAAGCAAAGGGATGCCCCACACCCACTCCACACTGACCTCTCCCTCTGCCAGTGGAGAAGCAACGAAAAATGACCATGCGCATATCTAGCCCCTCCTGGACCCAGATCTTGCTCATGATTCGAATCATCTGCAGGGTGAGCATGTCCTGGCGAAGGTCGTCCCCGCACTGGACAGGAAAGAGTGATTAAAACCCATCTCCGCTCCCTCCTCCAGGCTTCTAAAACCCCCAGTGGTTGACCATCAGTCCTGCTGTTTGAGACAAGGTCTCTCTATGTAATCCAGGCTGGCCTCAAACAGCAATCCTCCTGCCTCAACTGGTGGGTGCTGGATTACAGGTCTGTACTATCATGCCTGGTTCATGAGGCCTTTCAAAAACTTGAATGTTTGGCTGGGCATGGTGGTACATGCCTTTAATCCCAGCACTCGGGAGGCAGAGGCAGGCAGATCTCTCGAGGCCAGCCTGGTCTACATAGTGAGTTCCAGGTCAGCTGGGGCTACAGGGAGACCCTGTCTCAAAAAGACCATAAAAAAAAACAAAAAAAACAAAAAACACTTGAATGTTTGTACCAGATTAGGAACTAACACATAGTAAATGTATAGTATAAGGTTCTGAGTGATAGAAACTGTATTTATTTTACTTTTTGGGTACTAGAAATTGAGCCTAGAGCCCTAAAGACACTAATAGGCATATGATCTACCCCTCAGGTATACCCTCCCAATACCCCAGGTAGGTGCATGCTGCCTTCCCCACTGTATTATATGTTCTATGACTATCTTATTTCTCATGGTCATAGAGGGGCCAGTCAGAGGGAGCACAGGGTTCATCTAGTCTAATCTGCACCTGACAGAATTTCTCCAGTCTCCTGCCATATGTCACCCAGCTTCTGCTAGAATATGCCCATTGACAAGATGATTATATCCATGCATTGGGTGGGGGCACCAAGGGGTAGCTCTGCCCCCCAGAAAGTGTTTCTATAGTCTAAGCTATATCAGTTGCCCCTCCTGACACTGTTCTTTATCTTCTAGGGTCATGAACTCATCAAAATCTTTTTTTACTTGATAGTCTTTCCAATATTAAAAAGGTAGCATGAGTGGCTGAAGATGTAGTTCAGTGGTAGAATGGGTGCCTTGCATGCTGAAGGCCCTGAGTTCAGTCCCCTAAGGCATATGCACACACACCACATACACAAAGGCACATGGGATAGAAACAGTCCAGGCCTTTCCTGCCAGCCTTTCCTCTACTGCCTTCACCCACACCAGGCATGAATAAAGTATTCTTTTTCCCTTGCTTTGTTTTTGTTTGTTTGTTTTTTGGTAGCGTTGTTTTTTGGTGTGCAGCTCAAAGTGCTCTAGAAGTCACTGTGTATCCTAAGCCAGCTTTAAGCTCATGGCACTTCTGCATTAGTATCTTAAGTGCTAATTAAAGTGTTCTCACCTTGAAGATGACTCGGATGTTCTCCCCCATTGGATCCACATTTTGGAAGGCCAGCTTGAGGGGGACTGCATTGGAGTTGAAGTAGGAGCAGTCCTGAACAGTAGAGAGGACAGTGACAATTGTCAGTGTGGTTCACACTCAGGAAGGAAAATGACTTCTTCATTCTGGGTCAAGATGCTGTCTACCCTTCTGCTGCTGGTCTTCACAAGACATGCTCAGTGTATCCCTAGATTTCCCAGGATGGGTTCCACACACCTCTCCTTACTGCTCTCTCCTGGCTCAGGTCACAACCTTGGCTCCAGCACCTGTTCTCTCACCCCTGCCTTTCACTCTACTCAGAACTTACTTCTGCTAAGTCCCACATCCCATCTAAACTCTGAAAATGGGGTTCATGACAGCACAAACTGTCTAACAGTTGCAAGAATGAAGCACAACAACCAACAAGAAGAACAAAGACCAGTGCTGGACAATGAGCCCAGAAAGTATGGCTAAGAACTACCATCCTTGCCACCTTCCCAGTTCATCCTTGGCATCACAGGATGACCCAGCCTCTGACCCAACTCTGATGCCCTACACACAGTTGCCAAGCAAAAATCCACATGTGGGCAGGTTGGGAAGAGACCATCCATTTGCCCTTCTTCCTCTTTTCTCTCAAGACAGGGCAAAGAGTGTTCCCTGAGCATTCCCCATTCTGCAACGTTCCACATCCAGCAGTTACTTACCCTGGGCACGATGCCCTTCACCAGAAGACTAGGGCTAAGTGGCAGGCGGCATGAGCCATTGAGGGCAAAGAACTGTCTTACTTCTTCCAGGCCTGTGCGAAGGATGCCCTGTAGGGAGTGGTGAAGGAAGTAGAGTAAGGTAAGGGCCCCACAGTTTCCACTCATAGCCAGACCTCTCCCATAGGAAGGTGCCTAGTCATGTGCCCGAATAGCACGAACGACCTCTGGGGGACTCTTGGGAAGGAGAACCACCCATGTGGGTCCCAGCCTGGCCCAGTGCACAAGAAGAAAGCCCGATTTTCTACAGAGGTCAGGCAGTCAGTAGAATGGCAGGAAGCAGACACAAAAGCCAGGGCAGTGACACCCTAAGGGGGAAAGTACTGCCCAGGTTTTTCCAAGAAAAGTTGATGATCCAGACTTTAATATAAAAACACCCAGTTTTTTTTAAAATTTTACTTATTTTTATTTTATATGTATGGATGTACTGCCTGAATGTACGTAAGTTGCACCCATGTTGTACAGTGCCCACGGAGGTCAAAATCCCCTGGAACTGGAGTTATGGATGGTTGTTAGCAGCCATATGGGTGTTGGGAACCGAACCGGAGTCCTTTGCAAGAATAGTCAGTGCTCTTAACTGCTGAGTCATCTTTCCAGCTCCCAAAGCTCCCAGTTTTTAGTATCAGTAACCAAGAGCACTGATGGTTTAGCACAGTGCCTTCAAGCAAGCAGATGGAGATCTTCTTCCTGTCACCTGTCTCTGCCCTGATCCATGGTCCCCAGAGTGATCACTAGATCTGAGGTTGGAGAGATGGCTCAGCAGTTAAGAGCACTGGCTGCTCTTGCAGAGGACCTGGATTCAGTTCCCAGCACCCACATGGTCACTAACAGCCAACCATAACTCCAGTTCCAGGGAATCCAACACTCTCTTCTGGCCTCCATGGACATTGCACATGTGGGTGCACTTATATCCATGCAGGTAAAACACTCATACACATAAAATAACAAATTTTTAAAAAGTGACTGGATCAGCCACGTATGGTAGTACATGCCTTTAAACCCAGAGCTCAGGAGGAAGAAGCAGGCAGATTTCTGTGAGTTCAAGGGTAGCTTGGTCTACATAGTGAGTTCCAGATCAGCTGGGGCTACAGGAGACCTTGTCTCAAAAAGAACAAAAAAAAAAAGTGACTGGATCACACTGGGCATGGTAGTGCATGCTTTTAATCTCAACCCTCAGGAGGCAAAGGCAGGCGGATCTCTGTGAGATCGAGGCCAGCCTGGTTTACACAGTGACTTCCAGAAGGCCTGAGACTAGAGAGACCCTGTCAAAAAAAAAAAAAAAAAAAAAAAAAAAAAAAAAAAAAGAAAAAAAAGAAAAAAAAAAAAATGACTAGACCTTAGCCCTTACCTAATGAGTACACTTGTGTAATAGACAAAATATACAAGAATGCCTAACCTTTAAGGCAAACAGCTACATCAAAATTGTAATATTTTACAGGCCAAATAAAACACATTCATGGGCTATTCCCAGCTTGAGGACTATCTGCTTATAGCCTGCAGGTTACAGCTACCTCTTTCTAGTTCCTAAATCAGAGATGGTCATATGTCATCCTGCTACTCAGGATGCCTGAGAAGTAAACTCTAGGTTACAGAAGTCTTGGCCAGAAACAGAGGCTGGGCTAGGCAATCTTGCCTGGCTCACCTATCCTACTCACCTGGCGTGCAGAGGGTGTGGCCTCCCGGACCTGCTGGGCCAGTTTGGCCAGAGTGTTGACAAGCCAGCACTGGCGGTTAAACTCTTCCCTCAGTCCCTTGCCACAGCAACAGAGCAGGGCTGCCAGCAGGTACTGGTAGCGGATACTGAACTGAGAGTCCTTGAGGCTATCCTTCAGTAACCTGCGAGGCAGGGCAAGTGGGGATTCAGGCCACTTAAGAGCCACAGGCAGTGGAGTAAGGGGGAAAGGGGTAACGTTCTGCTTCAACTCACTAGAAAACCCACCCCTTGCCTCAGAGAAGAAAAATACATATTGAATGTCTACCTTGTCTTTGAACTCAAAGCCCCTCTACAGCTCAGCTCATCTTCACAGTTCTGCCATGGGTGGGTGGAGAAAAGGGGCATAGGTGATCTTCCCTGAGCTACATCGAAGTGAACTGAGACCCTCAGAGGAGAGATGCTAGACTAAGGCTACAGGGTAGATCAAAAACATACTAGAGCTCAATCTCTTGGCTCCTCATCCCTGCATGCCTGGGAGAAATACTCTCCCATAAAGGATTCGGGTCTACCTCCCCTGTTTCTGCACATGAGTTTACCAGAAAAAGTAGTGGGTCACTCTCAGGTCAGAGATGGCTCGTTTCAGGAGAAAGCGCACCAATGGACTATCCAGGTAGCACTCATACTTGAGGGCCTGTTCAGGAAAAAGCAAACACAAGGCTTCATTAACCACCTGAAATCTACACTGACTACTATCTCCTGGGACCTTGGCTCTGAGGGGCAGCTGTAGACAAGCTTAAGATTTGGGGGATAAGAGCATCAGTACTGCAAGTTCATGTACCTGCACGAGCTGGGGCAGGTAGTCAAGCAGCTCAGCATCCGAGAGTGAGCCGATCCACTGGACAGCCATCCGGCGGACCTCCTGGTCTGGGAAGCTGCAAAAGAGTGCAGGACCCTGACAACCCTGTTGGGCTGCTGGCTGTGACAGAGATGTGAGCCATGTACCTTCATACCTGGGTGTCAGTGTAAGGAGAAGGAAAAAGGATCTGCATCTCCTCCAGATTGCAGTCCGTAGGAATGGCCAGCAGGCAGTCTCCCTTGGGTGGGGAGAAGCAGAAGAATGCCAGCTGGCCTGGAACTCACTATATAGACCTGGCTGGCTTGAACTCACAGAGATCCACCTGCCTCTGCTTCCCAAGTACATGGGTGGCATGCGCCACCATGCCTGACAATATTTTTTAAAGCTTAAAAATGAGATCCAGGAAATGCTAGCGGTGGAATCTAGGCATATGGGGGGGCTCACTGTACAGTTTTATGATACGTACAAAAGAAAAGCTGGTAAAGTCCTGAATACCCATGTCTATGTCACCATTTCCCCAAAGGGGCCCCCACCAGAGATGGGGCTGGGGCTGGGACAGGTGCACGCTGCAACTCACGTGGCATGCAGGAGCCCCAGGGCATCCTGGTGGTTCATGTGGGTCCACTGCTTCAGCAGAGCATAGATGTCGGGTAGGCAAGCCCACTCCCAGCTGGGTGCGCTGGCAAGCACCAGGGGGAGTGAGCTCACCTCCGAGTGGCAGTAATATCGCTTCTCCCACAGGCGCTTCTTGTCAGCATCAGTGAGCCTGTGGGGAGGGTGGCAGAGTCAGACAGGGGGTGGAGAACTTATGTTCCAAGGGAATTGCTGTACACACGGTCATTCAGAGGCAGAATGTATAGGCTAAGGGGACACCAAATCTGGGGGTACCCTGAAGTACTGGGGTGGGGGTGGGGTGGCTAGCTCCCAGCTAGTGAATAGAGACACTAGAGGGCAGTGAGCCATAATTGTCAGTAGTTGGACAGCTGAGAGGCCTCATGGGACTTCTGTTGATTTTTATAGGGTCTGCAGCTAATTGAGCTTGCCTGAGATCAGGTGTCTAATGGGAGAAGGGAACTGAGGGGCTAATGAAGTGAGGGGTTGGGAATGGGGTGGGGGCAGGGAGGTCTGCCTCTCTTGTTCCCCCACCCAGCACATTCAGCAAGCTATGCAGGGACCAGAGAGGAGGCTGGGCAGAGCAAGAGCCCTGACTCCCCTCCCTCTCACCCCACCCTCTCCAGTCCTGATGGACACAGCAGCCTAAAGAATGAGATCAGCCTGAACTCATTTCCTCCTGAGAGCTGCCAGCTTGCCATGACACCTGATCCTTTTTGGAAAGTGACAAGGCCAGAAAAATGCAAAGGCTGTTGGTGTAGAAGGGACAGGACGTGGGGCAGGGAGGTGAGGACCACAGCCAGCTGCCCCACCAGACAGCGAGGAGACAGCATATCTGAGGTAGGGACAGAGGTCTGATCCTCCTAGTAGTTGAATTGGCCAGGTCACTAGTGTGGGGCTGGGCATTCTCAGATCTCATTTCCAGATCTGCTCTTTCCTACTCTCAGCTTGTGGAGAAAGGTTTGGAGCTGCTACCATCACCTCCCACCTAGGTCGTTGCAGTGCCAATCCCATCCTACCTCCACTTATCAAGCATAAGAGCAGGGACCAGATGCTGACAGGCCAGACCGACTCTGACAGTCAGCGGGTGCCCTGGGCCTCACCAGTATAGGGACTCCTTCTCCGTGATATCTTTAAGTTTGCGTTGGTCTTCCTCCCGGAGGCTGCCAAACTCATAGCGGGGGCTGAACTTGTCTCCAGGAGGGCTGGTGAACTTGATGTCAAAGGCGGAGGTGGGGAAGTCAATCTTAGGGTAGGATCAGGGGAGAGACAGGGGACAACATCAGCATTAGCAGGGCAGCTACCTCCTAGGGGTAGCTACCTCCTGGGGGCCGGCTCCCTGCTGAGTGCTTCTGCCTTCCTCCTTTCTTCTCTTTTCCAGAGGTTCTTTGTAAAATAGCCTAGCTACACTTGGTTCAAAGTCTCTTCCAGCTGTAACTTTCAGCAAAAATTAATAGGAAGCCTGGTGTGGTGGTTCATGCTAGTGATCCCAGCACTCTGAGGCAGGAGTATCACTCCAAGTTCACAGTAAGCCTAGTCTGCATAGTTGAGTTCCAGACCAGTTGGGGATCATAGTAAAGCCCTGCCTTACCTCAATCTACCTCCAAAAGGAAATATGGGAAAAATGAGTAAGAGAGACAGAAGCTTATGGATGACAGGACAAGCCCCACCCCAACAACCCTGAACAGGTATTGCTTGAGTAAACCACTGAGAGCATTCAGGCTGATGCTGGGGACTCCTTAGTGTGGTTCTTGAGGTGCTGCAGCCTGCTGGAAGCTGGGGGCCACACACTGGGTGAAATCTCTACTAACTCTAGGGCCTGACACTAGGTCCCCTTACTCTGTGACACCAGATGTAGGTTCTCTTAAGATGGGCATCAGAGCTGAAAGATATACTGCTCTAGGGTTCTACCTAGTCAGCAAGAGCTAACTGAGCCCTGATAAAGTATTTAAACACCCTGATGAGTTTTTCTAGGCCCTGGACATAGAGTGGTGAATAAGGTAAAAATACTTGTGTCATGGAGCATATATTCTGTATCTTTTTGTTTCATTCTCTATCATCATTGACATTCACAACTCCATACAACAGCATCTCATGAGAAAGGGGAGCTGGAACTAGACACAAGACCTAGGACCTAACCAGCTCCTCTCCTTCCCTCTAAGAAGGGGTCCCCCTTAAGATGCCAAGTAACTTGCTGGAATACTTTTACGTGGGCCTCACGAGAGGCAGCACAGATTGGATCAGACCTAGAACTGTGAGAATTCAGACAAGGGGCTGGGCCTCCTCCAGGGGATGATGAGAAATGGAAGATGGATACCTCCCACTTCCACTCACTAGTCCCATCTGGGTCCAGCCACATTCTCTCAGTCACGTCTTCATCCCATGCCCACAGTTCCAGCCTACAACTCAAAAGGGGCCTCAGAACTGACTCTGGTGCCCTGTGATGGGTGGGATGGAAAAGCTGGGTCTTACCTGCAGGATGACACTGTCTGGCTGGTGGAAATTAGGTGCACTCCAACGGGCACTGGGGTTTTCCTGTGTTGCTGGCCACAAGCCCAGAAGCTTCCGGCCACAGGTCAAGACTCTAAGATAGGAGGGTGAGATAGGCCAACAAATCCACAGGCTAAGTGGTAGTTTCTCTTCTGCTCCCAGTGCCCAAGCCTGACTTTTCTGGTTGAAGCCACTGTCTTCTTTCTCTTTTATTCTCCTCACACACCGTGGCTCTCCCTTCTAATACCTAGGAAGCCTCTCTGAGCCTCCCAATCCCTGGCCAAGATGACCAGGGAAGAAAGCAAAGCTGCTTTCTTAAGGCAGAGAGGCCTGGTGAGATGACCTCTATGGTCCTTCTGGTAACAGGACCAATGACATGTTACCTGAGCATGCTTTCCCATGTTCCTCCCCCACTAACAGTTTTCATCAACAGTCTTAGTCACTAGTTCTGTGCACTGGCCTCTCTACCAGGACTGGGGACCTCTAGACTTCTCAGTGAGCCCCATATGACCAACCCAAGGACACTGAGAGTAGCAACCAGGCTTTTATCTCTAACCCCTGTTTCCCTGTAAAACCAGAAGCTACTCCCCTGGGGCTCACATACTGCCTGAAGTTGAAGAGTGGAGTAGTGACCCAGCCCAGGGCTTCGGGCACTCGTCGCTGCTTATTGGCTTCGGAAGAACTCCCAGGCGGGGGAATGGGCAAGGCATAGAGTGTGGCACACAATAGGGTCTCCCGAGGCAGCCTTTTTACCTGTATTGGGAAGCAGATCCTAGGAAACAAGGAGACCAGAATCAGGGGGCCTGGAACATCAAGTACAGGCAGAGAATTAGTCTTTCAGGGTGCCACATATGTTCCCTAGGAAAGCTGTCCTGTAAAACCATTAAAGGCTCCAAACTAAGCAAGACCTCTACCATGTGCCCCCTGAAGCACAGTAAGATGTCTTTCAGGCTCCTCAATAGATTTAAAAAAACAAAACAAAACAAAAAAACCCAATTTCTAGGCAGGGACCAGGCAGAACTTGCTTAGCAGAGCTATCTCATTGTCCAGGTGGTCACCCATTCTGTCCTGTGCCAGGATCCTTCCTCACTTTAGGATTCCTAAGAGGGTCAGCAAAGCTGTTTCTGTGGTCCTTTCCACTCAACAGTCCCATCCCTTCACCATGCCCTACTCTGAGAGCCATGAGGAAGAAGCACCAGGACCTCTGCTCTCAGTGCACTCAGTCGGCCCTCCCCCCACAGCCCTCTTATCTGTTTGTGTCCCCTTTCTTAGCCCCAGGGACATGTCATGGTTTGTTCCCATTTGAAAACAAGCTCAAAGTCAAAGGAATAAAGAGAAGGGGCTTTATAAAGTCCCCTTGGGGTAAGAAAGTCAACTGGCAGGGCCAAGAGAACTGACCAAGCAGCTGACCACTCCTCAAACCCAGATGTTTCCTTGGCCAGTAATGACTGAACTACACCCAGCCACTCCCTCTGAGTTCTGGAAGAGGAGACTTGGGTGGGGGAGGTGGAGGGAAAATGGAAGCTGGGGAAAGAGGACCCACCCTGTTACCTTTCTGGGAAGCTGGGCCAAAGTCCACACTGCCACACCCTTCTAGCCGGCCCAAGGCCCAGCTGCTTCTATACCCAAAGGGCACAGAGGCTGGGCAGTCACCCCCAAGGTCAGCAGTTTCAGATAAAATAGCCTTCCTCTTCACTGCCCCTCACTCCTGGGAAAAAATCTCCACTTAAAGGAGGCACTGGACAATCACAGACTGGCACAGTCCTGCTCTGCCTCAGCTGCCTCTACTCAGGGGCCCACAGCTATAATTAGGGCCCCTTCAACAGCCAGCGGACATGCCAGGCTGGGTTTGGCTGGAGGGACAGAGCACGGCTGCTGGGCCTATTTTGAGAGTGAGCTGATCCCTATCCTGGTGCAGTGGGAGAGAGAAACAGTTGACCCTGCAGCCAGGGAAAAGGAGCTGGTCCTGATCCCTTTCTGGTCACCCAAGAAGGGAGAAATGCCAAGTATGGTAGCTCATGCCTGTGATCCCAACAGTGGGGAGGCTGAATCAGGAGGACTGCTATAAGCTCAAAGGCAACATAGAGAGTACCAGGCCAACCTGGATAAGAGATACTATTTCAAAAAGAAGGAAGGAGGGAAGGTTGGTTGGTTTGACTGAAACTATAACACCAAGAAGCAAGCAAGGCCCCCATTCTTCAGGCCTTGAGAATATCTGATTCCAAAATGGAATGCCAATGGGACTCTAAAATGGCCTCCACAATCCTTTGCCTGGGGCTGGTCAGGAGAACCACTACTACTGCAGAGCTAGCTCTCTTCCTCACCTGAGAAACTCTTCTTCAATTTCAAAACACAGGGGCTGCCTCTTCCAGGGAATGTGCTGGGGCTTCAGTCTTGCTTGGTCACTCTCTTGAGCAACTGAACTCATAGCTTGGCACTCAGTGTACTCATCAGGGAAGAGAGGACGTAGCTCTCTGTGCCCCTTTCCGCTACCTGACACTAGTTATACTGAAACTGGGCTATGCTGACAGCATTTTCACACACATACCCCCAAGCATCAGCTACTTTGTTAGCCACCTGGAACAGAGAAACAGGAACTGAGGAGGGACCTAAGATGAAGACAGTGAAGAAGAATGCATTGATCACTAGACACTGTGCCAGGGTCTCATTATATAGCCTAGGCTAATTCTGAACTCATGGTAATCCTGCTTCAGCCTCCTAAATGCTGGGATTATAGGCATGCACCCAGCTGTCCAAGTATTTTATTTAATTAATTAATTTATTTATTTGATTTTTGTGGTGAACTCATGGCCTTATGCATGTTAGGCAAGCATTCTACCACTGAGCAAGTTCTTACAGTGTCTTAACTGTGCTTCAAAATCCTATAGGGTGGTCCTATAATACCTTCATTTTAAGCTGTCTAGAATAGCCGCATCTACTGAGAGCACAGTTGAAGGATGGCTGGCCCAAAACTGTTTCCTGAACTCCACAGGGTAGTACCTTCTCCCTCATGCCTTGGCCTTGATTAGGAAGGCTGAGAGATCTCACTTTGGACACTGGGGGTGGTAGTGCTGAGACTATGCTCTCCACCCAGGCTGTATACCTTAGAGGACTGGCCCTGTGGATCTGGGTCTGATCTGTCTGCTCAGACCCAGAGCAGACAGATATCCATTGGGCAGGGTGGGCCTCCGTACCTGGAACTATGTTCCTCAGCACCACTTCCCTAGGCAGCAACAGGGAAGGATGGAGAATCCCAAGGGGACAGTGAAACTTGGAAGCTATTTATTTTAGCAGTGCTGGATTGAACCCAGGGCCTCACTGAGACAGTGTCTCACTATGTAGCCTAGGCAGGCCTCAAATTGACATCAATCCTGCCTCAGCTCCTGAGTGTTAGTATTGCAGAACTGAGTACCAAGCCCTGTTTCTCAGGGACCACTTAATGCAGCTACCCTGTTTCCAAAGAGTTCCTCCTACCCTGGTAAGTGTTTGTTAGTGGGAGTTGTACACCATTACTGTTCTAAGAATAACCTCAGTGTGATGAATAGGGTTTGTCTCCCATATAATCTACCTATTAAATAATCTAGCCTTCCTGACCCTTTGTCTATTTTGCATTCTTGATCTGCCAGAGGATGCACTTCTTTCTTTATAAATCTGTACCATGCATACTGAAGATGCATTTGCCACTATGCAAAGAGGACTCAGATATGGTTGACCTAGGGAAGTGAAGCTGGGGACGACAAACAAGGGGCTTTCTAACTGTCTGGAGAGCAGATGAGTATAGCACAGCAAGGCACTGGGCAGGCAAACACCTGCAAACACTCAAGGTCCTGTCACCCCTCATTTCCTTCCTGCCTTGCTTGGCTGAAGCTTTTCTTCCTGAAATAAAATTGTTAATAACTGGAAGCTGATAATGTCTTATGCTAATAGTGTCATTTTTTTTAAAGATTTTTAAAAAATATTTTGCTGGGCATGGTGGCGTGCACCTTTAATCCCAGCACTTGGTAGGCAGAGGCAGGTGGATCTCTGTGAGTTCAAGGCCAGCCTGGTCTACATAGTGAGTTCCAGGACAGCTGGGGCTACAGGGAGACCCTGTCTCAAAAAGACAAAAAAAAAAATAATAAATTAAAAAAAAAAAAAAAAATAATAAATTTTTATTATTTTTATATTTTTATGTGTATGCATGTATTGCCTGCATGTAGTTAAGTGTACCCATGTCGTGTAATGCCCTCAGAGGACAGAAGAGGCTGTCAGATCCCCTGGAACTGGAGTTATAGACAGTTGTTAGCTGCCATGTGGGTGCTGGGATTCAAACCCAGGTCTTCTGCAAGAACATTCAGAGTTCTTAACTGCTAAGCCATCTCTCCAGCTTCTAAGTTTTTTGTTTGTTTTGCTTTTAATTTTATGTGTATCAGTGTTTTCCCTGGGTGTACATTAGTGCACCTGTGCATGCAGTGCCCTCAAGGGCCAGAAGAGGACATCAGATCACCTAGAACTTTTGTTCAAACAGTTGTTGGCTACCATATGGGTGCTGAGAACTGAACCCAGGTTCTCTACAAATAGTAGCCAGTGCAATTAACCATTGTCTCTCTAGCCCCCATGTCATATGTATTTAATATTTATATTTTTTGGTTTTCTGAAATAGGGTCTCTTTGAGTAACTCTGGCTGGCCTGGAACTCACAGAGATTTGCCTGTCTCTACCTTCCCAGTGCTGGGATTAAAGGTGCATCATGCCCGGCCCAATGTCATATTTATGACTGCCTATCTCACGTCAATGCTACATCTGTCTCTAAATTAAACAAATGGTCTTGCTGCTCAATTTGAGAAACTGAGGAATAGACAGGCTAGCAAGAACATAGGATTAGAGAGAACTAGAAAGAGAACTTATTCCTTTGCTTCACATTCACTATTTCATTCTCTAGACAATCCTCCTTGCTCTATCCATAAAGGACAAGGCATGGCCCCGCTACTGATACTTTGTGTATTTTGAGATAGTATCTCTTGGTTGACCTAGAACTTGCTATGTAGTCCAGGTTGGCCTCAAAATTATGGTGACCTCTTTCTTGCCTCTGCTTCCCAAGTGCTGAGATTATACATGTGCACCACTATGCCCAACTAAATTAGTAGAATTTTGTGCTTTTTGTTTGTTTTATGCTGCTCTAGGGCTCAAATCCAGGACGTTGTGCATGCTAGGCAAACACTCTAATTCAGGCCATACCCTCAGCACATTTGCCTATTCTAAGCAAACTTTGGGAGGAAAGGAGAGATGGAAATCTTGTAAACCAGTTACATTCTTTAAGAGAGGCAAGATCAAAAGAATGAGGTATTGGGGCTGGAGAGTTGGCTCAGCAGTTAAGAACACTGACTATTTTTCCAGAAGACCCAGGTTCAAATCCCAGCACCCACATGGCAGCTAACAACTGTCTGTAACTCCAGTTCCTGGGGATCCAACAGCCTCTTCTGACTTCCACGGGCTTTGCACGAGACAGGCGCACTTACCTACATGCAGGCAATACATGCATACACATAAAATAAAAATAATAAAGTATTTTTTTTAAATGAGGTATTTTTAATTACCAAGTAACATTTATATGGTCCTTTATAGATTCCAAAGAGTCTTTATGGACACTTGTCATCGGATGTTCCTAATAACTTGAGAGGTAGAAATATTTGTCCCCATTTAAGCATCAAGGAAGTGGAGACTCAAGAGACTGAATGACCTGGTCTGGATAAGGACAGCAACAGAACCCTTTTCTGACCTAGGCTTGTTCCTTGCCCCAGGGTATTTCTGAAGTAAGCAGGTTGGTCTAGGCCCAGCCTGGGGCCTGGAGGGAGCTTACTGCTGGTCCCAGATGATGAGGTGGAACAGGTACTTGGAGAAGTGAGCCCGTCGAGTCTGCAGGGGGCTGCACAGTTCCTTGCCACCATGGCTGAGGGAGCAGGAGAGGTAGAAATCTTCATAGCTACAAAAGAAAGGGAACAGCCCTTAAAAGCATTCTTGGTACCCTAATGCCCACCTCTATTACTTTTGGTATAGTTTTCTTGGTCTCTGGAAGTGGCAACATGGGGCTGGGCTTAAGAAAGTCTGTTTAGGGAGCAGCAACTCCATCTGGCTCCCTGGACCCCCAGGGTCTCAGGCCTATGCTGAGTACAGAGGTTTTTCCTTTCATGGGAATGGCCATCCAGCCTCCTCCTTACAGTCAGCTCCAGCCCATCAAGTGTAGCACACAAGCACACATGCATATGTGTGTGTGTATGTATGTGCAGGCAAGGAGAGTGGGGAGGAAAACGACATATGCCGCCATGAATGCCAACACATGGGGGTTCCTGTAGCTCTGACAGGTGCCTGACAGAAGAGGTCAGAGAAGGCCCCTGTTTCCCAGGCTGCCTTCTTTGTTCTACACCAATCACCCAGAGGAATACATTAAGTGAGGAACAAAGAAAGAAGAGGAAGGGAGGAAGGCGGGGATGGGGCTAGTGAGGGTGGGATGGGGCCAAATGCCTATTCCTCCAGGCCTTGGATGCTGGGGACCCAGCAGAGGATCTGAGGATTACCAAATGAACGTCCTCCTCCCCCCACCCCTGCAAGGGAACCCCAGACAAAGGGTCACCCCCCCCAAACCCCTCCCATTGTGCATCTGCAAGAGAGTGCAGCCATTGGCGTGGGGCACACTCTATCTGGGAACTGGCCATCTGTCGCTTGTCTCCCTCAGCTGGCTTTGAATCTGGAGGGGGCAGAGATGCTGAGGCAGCCAACACTGAGGGAAGGGCAGGTGCTTCTCCATCTCCTGGGGGACTTTCTCTCTCAGAGATGCCTCAGCCTGAGTTCCCCTCAGGCACCTGGATCACCAGTTTTAGCCCTGTTGCAGCAGAATGCCACACAATATTACACATCCTAAGATGGAGGATAGAGAAGACACACGCAGAAGACGTAAAGCCTCCAGAAGTCAAGCTCATGTGTCTCCTTAGAGCTCTGACTCACCTGGTAGCCCAGGTGATGGGGATACGGTGGGTAGCATACACAGTGAAGGCTAGTGCCCCGGAGAAATGGCAGGCCTCCTGAACCAAATCATGCTTGTGGCTCCCAGGCACTGCAGTCTGAAAGTCCGCATTGAATGTGCTGCAGTACAGCTCAACCAAGTCCAAGATGGCTGCTGTCAAGGCTTCTACCACCTTCTCTGTGAAAGGAAGGGTCAGAAAGGAAACTCAACAAGTGCAATTTTGTGGCCCCAGCACTACAAAGATAGGATGGCCCGGGACAGTGATCCCCAAATCAGTCTTGTGAGCCCCTGTGTGTGAAGCCTCCAGGAAGTGAAGCTCATGTGTCTCCCTAGAGCTCTTCACACAGTTTCTAATGGCTGTGACAAAGTTCACCCATTCGTGGAGAAACAAGAAAGATGTAGGAGTGTGGTAAACTCTCCATCAACAGGTACTCAGTTTTAAACGTGGTCCTATATTATATTGCTACTTACATGATCTAGTGTTAATATGTTCTTTTTAAAAAGTCATCTCTGAGAGCTGGGCATGGTGGTATATACCTTTAGTCCCAGCACTTGGGAAGCAGAGGCAGGTGGATCTGTGAGTTCAAGGGCAGCCTGGTCTACATAGTGAGTTCAAGGTGAGCTGGGGCTATAGTGAGACCTTGTCTCAAAAAGACAAAAAAAAAGTAATTTCTTGGCTGGGCATGGTAGCACACATCTTTAATCCCAACACTCAGGAAGCAAAGGTAGGCAGATCTCTGTGAGTTCAAGGCCAGCTTGGCCTACATAGCAAGTTTCAGGCCAGCCAGAGCACCACAGTGAGACCCTGTCTCAAAAACTAAATAAATAGGGGGCTGGAGAGATGGCTCAGTGGTTAAGAGCACTGGTTGCTCTTGCAGAGGACCCAGGTAGGATTCCCAGCACCCATATCGTGGCTAACAAACATCTGTAACTCCAGTTCCATGGGAATCCCATACCCTCTTCTGATCTCTATGAGCATTGCAAGACAAGGGTACACTTACATACATGTAGGCAATATACTCATACACATAAAAATTAAAATAATAAATAAAATATTTAAAAAATAGTCAGCTGGGTGTGGTGGCGCACGCCTTTAATCCCAGCACTCGGGAGGCAGAAGCAGGTGGATCTTTGTGAGTTCAAGGCCAGCCTGGGGCTACAGGGAGACCCTGTCTCAAAAAGACCAAAAAAATAAATAAATAAAATAAATAAATAAATAAATAATCAAGTGTGGTGGCACACACCTTTAATCCCAGCACTTGGGAGGCAGACAGGCAGATCTCTGTGAGATTAAGGCCAGCCTGATCTACAGAGTAAGTTCTAGTCAGCCAGAGCTACACAGTGAGACCCTTTTTCAATAAATAAGTTTTGTCACTTCTTGACAAAACAGAAAGCTAGTAGGTGTGTAGCTCAGTAGTGGAAAAAGTACTTAACCAGAATATGCAAGGTACTGGGTGCCATCTCCAGCACCATAGGCGTGCATACACACACACACACACACACACACACACACACACACACACACACACACGCATACACACAGCTGGAAATTTATGTCAGGTCTAGAATAGTTTTTGTAGACAAAAAGTTCATGAAGTCCAAAAGATGGATTCACTTTAACAATCTCAGTAACATGAGTTTTTAGAGCAAGGTTTTGCTTAAAGATTGCAAGAGAAAAATCCAAGGGAAAAATTCTTTCTCCCTTCTCCCAAATCCCATTCTAAATTGGAAGTGTTGTAGCTGCTGGCAGGAGAATCACAACCTACATAAGGGGGAGCTTTTCCATCCAGATTATAAGACAAACTCAGCCTCACCATCCTCCCCCAACTCCCACACCCACATCACCTCATCACCCTCTCCCAGGGACACCAGAAGGACTGACTGGCAAGAATAATGAGAGAAAGATCTGTGGAAAGAAATGTGGTCTCCATCTGTGTCCACACCTCATAGGGAAACACACAGATACACACACAGAAGCACACGCTCACACACACATAAATCAAGGGGGCCAAGGAGGAAGAATGCGGGCTGAGCCAGCAGTTGGCAGTTTTCAGCTGCCCCTACAGGACAAAGCAGGAGAGCAGTTTCCTTACCTCGGTTTTCCCGCACAGCCAACACACTGGGATCCTGTTGGGGAAAAAGAGGAGGGAGAGCGCTTCAGAACCCAGGCCTGCTTCATCACAGCTGAAAGAAGGGCTTTTCACAGCTACGCTCATCTGAGCTAGGCTGGCCTGGAGGAGCAGAGACTCCCCAGGGAAGGGGAGAACATGATGGTCTGTCTACACCAGAGTCACAAGAGGGACAGGGTGAAGCAAATGACAAGAAGAATCCTCATGATCACACGCACAGCTCCCACTGTGGAGTCACTGAGCCCAGGCACTGAAGATTTTCCTACTGGTTTGGTTTTGTGCCCTGATGGATAAGCAAACCATGGCTAGGCAATGCATCAGTGACCATGAATAATGCCTTTCTGGCCTGAGCTCACACGATTATTCCCACAGGGCAGACACTAGCCTACCCTATCCTCAGGAAGGGGGGACACACTTGGCATCCATGTCCCAGGAACTGTTGGGTCTGAACTGCTTACACATAAAAGATGGAAGTGGAGAAGAACCTTTTCATAAGTGGACACCTAGTCACCCAGTAACCAGCAGCCCAGTTACCTGTAAACATTCCTGTTCGTCATGCTAACACCTGGGCTCCTTTACCTTTTGGATTTTGGGTTGCATGCGTGAAGGGCAGGGGGGCAGCTGGTTGAGAGCGCTGGTGATCTCGGGGGTCTCCACAGCAGCCAGGGCATTGCAGATGGCCTTGACAGACTGGACCACCCTGTCGGCCTTCAGCGGGAAGTCCCCCTGTGGGAGGCCACATAGTGAAGCTGGTAGATCAGCTCTATGCCTCCCCCAACCCAGTCTTTACAGGAATGAGTCAGGCAGTATAAGGCTCATGACTCTAAAGAGGAACTCCAGGAACCATGCTTTATTTTCAAGTATCTAGCATCAGCAAATAAGTCTCTTGCTTTGAGTCAGGTGGGTCCAATCGACATTCCCCATTCCGTCAGCCATTCCCCCAAAGCCCTAGTCTGCCAGTAACAATCTATTTTATTTGTTATAAAAACACACACAGGTCTCCCCGAGAGGTCCAGAGTATTAAGGAAATCAATTCACAGAAGAGCACAGAGGCCAGGGAGACACACAAAGACCCCACTTGCCCTTTCCTGTCTAGTCACAATTACTTGTGTCAATTTAAATCAAGGACCTACCCCTTTACAAAGCCTCCCCTCCCAATGCCCACTGTCATCCTCTTGTATCTAATAGTTTTAGATGAACATTCTATTCCCTAATTACACAAACTCCCTAAGGCTGAAATTATTCTTACACTACGTACCCATTTTACCTCTCAGCAACTAGCACAGAATACTGCAAAATAGTCTGAGAATACTCATCACTGCCCATGTTGAAGTGGAGGCCACTACAGAAAGGATTCTGGATGTGGATGGGGGTCGAGTGAGCTAGGCACACTGCCCTAGAGGGCAGAGCCCATGACTACAAACTGAACTGAGGAAATAGGGGTTGTTTGTTTTTTGAGACATGGTTTCACTACGTAGCCCTAGCAGGTCTGGAAATCACTATGTAGACTGGGCTAGCCTCAAACTCACAGAGAACTGCCTGCCTCTGCCTCCTGAGTGCTGGGATTAACATCACCATGCCCGGCCTGAGATGGGGGTTGCTTCTGAAGATAAAAGAACTGTGCTTTATTTCATGACATTTTGGCAAATGGTTCCAAGGCTTTAGGTTCCTTATAAGTGAATCCAAGAGAAAAGGAATCTGGCTACTCCACACACTTGGAACTTTAGGGCTCTTATACCTGTGACACAGGCTCAACAGAACCTCTCAAGTCAGAGTTCCTGGACATTGCTCACAGGACACAGTTGCTAACATGCCCCCTACAGCAGCTGGATGACAGTACTAGGTCTGTTACCCTAGAGATGCTCTACTCCAGAGATGGATCAGTGCGTGCCTTCTGACTTCCTACAGAGGCACAGACCCCCTTTCTACACATTTGTCAGCTCCCTCACAGCCAGGAAAGGTTTTGCTTGCCCATGAGATGGAGGATGAAATTAAGAGTCACTGGCAGACTGTCATCTCCACCCAGCTCCCTCTTGGTGTAGCTGATCTCAGGAAGCCCGGGAAAAAGGGAGCGTCTAGCAGCAACTCTTTGGTCAGTCCCAGGATGTGTACTCACATCTGCCAGCAGGAAAGCATCCACCTCGTTGTGGTAAGTATCAAAAAGAAGACTCAAGGCCTGCCTGGAGAGTGATGGGACAGAGAAAAATCACAGGAGAGGTCACAAAAGACCCAATACCCTGGGAGACCCATGCTTTTCTCTCCCTCTCCTCCACCCAGGGATCAGACTGACATCAAGGGGTTCCCACTCTTCTCATGCCCCGTGAAGGTGGAAGAGGGGGTCCTATCCACTTTGCAACCTCTCACCTAGAAAAGGACAGCAAAACACTGGAGAAGAGATGAAGTGTGCCCTGGGGTACAGTCATCAATGAATGCCAAGTCCCCTGGGCCCAACCAAGTCCCAGACACAGACAAGAATCTTTCACCCTAGCAGGAAGTCAGGCAAGCATATTTATGTCACTCCCTCTCCGTTTCTACTTACGCGGTACACACTCTTACCTGCTGATAGTCTGCTTGACTGGCCTCTCCTGTAGATGGATGAGGTAGTTCAACGTGGAAGGGCTCTGATTATCATTCACCTGAGTGAGTGAGCAGTGCCCTGGTCAGACAGAGGTGATGCCCTTTTCTCAGGCCAAGATGCATACCCCAACTCCCACCTAACATGTTCCACATCACCCTCTGCCCAGTCTACCTCCCCGTATATGTACAACTGTCAACCACCTCCAACACGCACCGTCCGGGCCAGGTCACTGCGTATGGCCTTCTGTTCCATTAGCTGCAGTCGGATGTTGATGTCAAACTTGCGGCAGTACTGGATATACTCATGGCTGCCCAAGGCATGCTTACTGGTGGGGTAGGGGGACAAGACCATCAGTGTCCTGAGGACTCATTAGTAAGAGAGATGCATACCTTAGCCTTGGGTAAAGACAGCCAGGAAGGAAAGAACTGGGGGGGGGGGGGGGGGGGGGGAAGGAGAGGGGGGAGAAGAAAAAAGAGGGGAGGGGGGGGGGGAGGAGAAGGGGGGGGGGGGGGGTGATGAGAGGAAGGAGGAAGAGTAGGAGAGGAGGGGGGGAGAAGAATACAAAGGGGAGAGGGGAGGGAAGGAGTCAGGGAGGGCCTGTTTTGTAATGCTTATTCTTTGCTCCTATAAATGTCATAGTAGAGCTGGGAGGATGAAGGCATGGAAATCTATCCAAATAAAAGCCACCTACAACACTCAACCCTTGGGCTACACAAATAATGACTCCTCCAGGCATTTATTACTTGTGTTGTTATCATTGGTTCATTCCCAGGATGGGAACTACTGCATAGAGTGGAAAACAAGAGGGGCTTTTTGGGGGGTAGCTGTTTAAACCCTATCCTCTTAGCTTTGACAACCAAGAGGAGATGGTCTGGGAGTTAATGTGCACCTGGACTCTGGTGTCTCTTTCTATGTTACCTACTAGGGTGCTGAAGACAAGTGAGGCTAACCTACCAGGATTCCAGAACTATTACCCCCTCCAGGTTCCATTTCTTTCCTCCCTCCACATTCCATCCTGTCAATCACCTTTAAGTCTTGGTAGACTTTCTAAAACATATGTGCCATTTTCACTGCTCAGCAACCAACACAGGAGACCCCCAGCTCACAGGAGGCAGCCTGGGGAGTCCCTCTGACACCCAGCCTCTTCCTCTCTCCCAAATCGCACCTTAATCTGAAAGGAAACCCACAAGAAAGAAGTGAACAAGTACTACTCCAGGCCAGCACCACAGGCTGGACCAGATCCAGGCATCTGGGTAACAGAAGTCAGAAACAGACTTCCTTCCTTAGGGGAGATGGGAATCTAAGCTTGAAATGGAGGGGAGGGGCAGGGAACAAAAGGTGGGGGGAGGCTATAAAAACTTGTAGACATGCAAGGCCAAGGCCAGGCCAAAACCAGTCAGAACTCAGGGGGCTCTTCACATTCTGAGGGGACCAGGTCTACAATCTGTGTTCTGATTTGCTAAGACTAAAATAAAGCTAAAATCTGGAGGTAGAGAGGCTAGACTGCCAGGCAGGCTCTGCAGGAGGGTCTGTGAGGAAGGAAGAGTATAGTGGTGGAGGCAGGGAGGAGGCAGGAAACCCAACCTCCCCAGGACTGTCTCAAGGTTCTTATCAGAGAGCAGCCTGCATCCTGGACTAACACTGCCCCTCAGTATCAGCCTCTCCAGATAGGCAAGGGAAACAATCCTGAGGGTTTTCATGAGAACTAGACGTTTTCTGGAACCCTCAGAGGATCCTTTCTACCCAGCAACTAGCACTATGCTTTTATGAAGGGTAGGAGGGGAGAACCAAGAGTCAGGGCCACAGGTCCCCAGGGGCTTGCTTGACCTTTGTGAAAAACCTTCTGCTGTACACTTGAGTTGGGGTTGGGCATGGCCCAAGGACCACTACTTAGTCCCACCTCATTGGAATCTTTTCACCTGACATCTCCCACTACCTCTGGACTCAGGGATCTGGTACTAGGGGTCTCCTGGAGAAATGTGGTATCTGTCTAGTCCCAAGCCTCAGGAGTCCTCTTCTTGGGGTTGGTCCTTCACTGCTGGTAGCCACTCATTGTTCATTTGGTCCCTCCCACATTAGCCCTCATTGTGTATATGTATGTGTGTGTGAGCATGCATGCAATGCTCAAATGGAACCCAGGACTTCACCTATGCCAGGCCCCACCTAGAGTCTTCACCTCTACCATCACTGAGCCACATTCCAACTTAAACCCTAACCACTCTTTGCAGAAGAAACCGAGGAGCAAACTTCACAACTAGTCAATGGAAAGCCAGAATTCAGTGTAATGGTGCTCCCTGGAGTTGGATTTAGCCACCCTTTTCTTGTTCCCGCCTAACGGTGGTAAGCTGCATAGGGCTAGTATTGCTAAGAGAACATGCATCTAGGACCCCTCCCTGTCCCTCTTGGGGAAGCAAGGACACAGTGATCCACCACATAGAATATATTTCAAGGTGTCCTGGAATTACATCATGAAGGGCCTGCCGGTTCCTTTCCCTTGGTTTCTAGATGAGGATACAGAGGCCCAAAGTGCCCACTATCCCTACTGCTGAAGAGATCAACCAAGAAATGAATCTTTAGTCTTGACTACCAATCCTGTGCTCTAGCCATAGATAACTCTTCTTGCACCTAGACCTTCAGGCAACAACATGCTTGAAGTGGTACTTCTCAGGAGGAAGGTGGAGGCCTTGCCTTTCTCTATTCCCAAGGTCGGTTTCATCCAAAGGGGCCAGAGGTGGTGGGCAGTAGCTGTGCGGAAACTTGAGGAAGGAAAGCAGATCTCCTGATATCTGCTGCCACAAGACTGTAACTCCTGGGAGTGGGAGCCCTGCTTATACCACTCCAGTCTTCCACAGCCCACAGTAATGGTCCTCAGCTGGTCCCACATCACACTTTCCAGGGAGGATGCCTTCACTGGAGGGCACTCACTGGAAGGAAGTGGAAGCCAGCCAAGGAAGAGGCTAATCAGCTGCACAGGCCAGGAAGGCAAAGGCACATAGACAAGGGAAGCCAGAGGAAGCCATTGCAGTTTGTGGGTTCCACAAGAGCATTTCTACCCAGTTCAGCTGCCCCTGGCTATAAAGGCAGCATATGTGCTCTAGAGAAAGAGAAGCAACCTGCCATAGCCCCCAGTCCCTGCCTCGGGATTTGATGCAATTCTTTCAGAAAGCAGAAGCCTGGTTGCAAATACCTCATCTTTGCCTAATCCCAGCTCCAAGCTCTTTCCATAGCAGATTGGCTCAGGATCGAGCCAACCCAGCTGGAAGACGGAGCTCTTGGGAAAATACAACGTGGCCGGGAGCGTGCCCAGAAAGCAGGAATCCTGACTGCGGGTTAGGAGGGGCTGCGAACACTGAGTCTAGTAAGCTCCCCAAGGCCCTCCCCAAGTTCTCCCAGCCTCTGCCCCACATGACCCCTCACTCTGTTCACTCACTTTTGCAGGAATTCTTCCAGTCCACAGGGCTTAAGCACAAAGTCACCCACATCCACTTCCCTCAGTTCATCGTGAGTGTAGCACAGGGTCTGGTAGATAAGTAAATCCACAGTGGAGGAACCTGTAAGGGGTTGGGTAAGAGATCAAGGGCAGTGCCAAGGGACCAGTAGGACAAAACCTCTCAAACTTGATCCTTTATCCATAAGTGATCTCCACCAACAAATAAATAAAGCAGGCAAACACTTGGGGTTGGAGAAAGTTACTGTCTACGCAGAATGCTGGCCCTCAAAGAAGTTTCCTTTCTACCCCTCTTTTGGGCTACAAAGTGAGATGGGAATCAGAACCAAAAGGTCCTATAGTCCAAAACATAGTCCTCCCTGCCTCACCTCAAGGAATGCACACATACCCTCCCCCAGCCAACTTACAGTTGCAGGTAAAAGTGAGTGGCTCCCGAAGGCTGTCACACAACACAGTCACTTTCAGATTGACCTCATCCCCAAGATGCTCTGGGCTCGGGGTAACAGTGCTCCAGACAAAACCAGTAAGGGAATAGTCTTGGATATCAGAGCCCGTTCGCAGGCTGTGTAAGAAGAGAGGGAAAAGGACTCCCGCTGTGTTCAGAGAGCAGTAGACAAGAGGTCCGAAGGGACCCTCCCACCCTAAGGCCCAAGGGCCTCTCTGTCCCTACCCAGCCTCCTAGATCTGCAGGCCAGGTTGGGGGCATTAGGGAGGCAGCTCTGGGAAGCTGTGCTCTTGCCATTTCTGCTACAATTGCAAAATGGTTTCCACAATGGAACTGTAGCAGGAATTCCAAAATGACCAAGTTTTCCACATTAAATCTAACAGAAAAATCTCATAAATCCATTTCCATTCTCTTTCAGGACAAGAGTATACTCTCATCCTCATCAGGAGAGGCATTTGCTCCTAAGGGCACTGGGGGTCAGTGCCTGAAGTGAGAGGATAATCAGACTGTTTGATCAAGGTTTGTGAATTTTATTAAAAACATGAAACTTCTAAGATTTGATAAAACCTTCAGACACCTGATGTAAAAAAAAATTTCCCAGTTGCTGAATGGAAGTTTAATAGAGCTCTTCTTCCTTCCTAAACAAAGTGCAGAAATGGGGTAGCATCCTCCTGAGACCCACAATCTTCCCAACCACTCACTCAGGTACACACACACACACACACACACACACACACACACACACACACACACACACATACACCCCCAACCATCCCCATCCCAACCTTCAATTCTTACATATCCAACATGTGACAAAATGCAGCAACTTCCTCATCTCTTTCCTCTGAGACCTCAAATAATTCGTGGCCATTGGTGATGTGGGGCCGGGAGCGCACCTTTAAGGGAAGAGCAATTGACTTAGTGCTTTTTCTTCATGACATCCCTTCTCTGAAGGGCCTCCCAGATCTAAACCCAAAGTCTGTGTATGAAGATTTTCTACTTAACTTTAAAAGGGGCATAGGAAATATAGAAAATCCAGAAATACATATGCACCAACCTAGGAGACCAAAGACCAAGTTGGAGGCTGAGCATGAAAGCTGAGGTGCAGTGGTCAAGAGTGGTCAAACCTGCTTTGTGAGGGGGACACGTCTTCCCAGCCCAGTGTTGCCAGCAAGGCAGTACATAACAAAGTGCAGAGGGCAACAGCTGGAGAGGCTTTCCAGGGAAGGCTCTCAGGGACATGCAGGTGAGCTGTTTATCCCAGCCCCATGGACAGACCAGGCAGGTGATCAGCTCAAATGGTCTCCAGGGAGGCTTGGCCTTGGGTAAAAACTACAGCATCCAAAGCCCCAGGAACCAGATTCAAAGAGACCCAGAGCTCTTTAGTGAGGGCAGATGACTCACACATGTGCCTTCTCAGTAAGTGTTGAGGATGAAAGTGTCAAAGCAGCGGTCTGGACTAGAGAGAACGAGGCTAGAACGAGGCTCTTCAGGAGCCTGATGGTCCTGAGAGGCTAGGATCACAGGCAGCCTGCCCTTGTTGACCTCACTTCCTCTCCCAGAACATGCATATGGTGCTAGGATTCTCTGACTAAGCCCTCAAATGTCTCCCATCCCAGGACTGCTCTCAGACACCCAGAAAACCCTCAAATGAGCTCTTAAGGAGGAACAAATAAGGAGAGAGCTGATGCTGACAGCCTCACAGGGCAGCCACCCAGGCATGAGGCTTCAGCTCCATGGAGTCCCAGGCTGCATCCCGTAAAAGCAGCTGGTTCTAACAGCTGCTTCTGGGGGAGTCTGTTGTGGTTTGTGCATGCTGTGTCACCTCTCATTGCCCCCTCAGCTGTTCTTATGCCCTCCCTGACCCTCAGAGCAGAAGGCAGCAACTAAGCTCTTCATTTGAATATTCTCACCGCTTCCTCAGGTGACCCTCTGTCTTGTCAGTCTTGCTCCCCTTGGTGTGTATAGTGTAGACGTGGGGGCACATGGAGGGGAGGGCAGTAGTGGGAGCAGTTGGCATGTGAGGCCCTGGCTCTGCCAAGTGCATGCCTGTGTTGGAGTCCAAACAATAGTAGCACTGTCAGCAATTAACCCAAGAGAGAGTCAGAGAGAGAGAAAGAAGGGGTAGAAGAGGCAGAGAGCAAGAGGGAAAAAACAGAACGGCCACTGAAGGCCATTTCATGCCCATTCCCTGGCACTGTAAGAAAACAAAAGCCACTTACGTTTGCCCGGCTGGCAGGCCCTGGTGGCATCGCCTGATGCTGGCTGGGGGAGTCTGCCAGGCAGAGGCTGGCAGCAGGGGTACCAGGCTGACATTTGGAGCCAGCCATTTCCAGAGATGGCTCAGCAGGCCTAGGATAAGGAGGGTCCTTCCGGCTGGAAGCCCGACGAAGGCGGGGTGGGGGCATAGGTGGAGGGCTCAAGGGGTCCCCCCTCCCAGCAGACTGAGCCCCTGTCCCAAGCTGAGATGGGGACGACCATGGCCTCATTGCCCCCTCAGAACTGGCAAGCTTTTTGCTTTGCCCTTGCTTCTTCGAGGAGTCTCTGGGGTAGACCAGGCTCCTCCAATTCTCTGATGACACACAAGATAGGGGGTGGGGGAGGGAAGACAAAGGTGACCACCTACCCGGAGCGGCCTGACACTGTGAGCAGGCTCAGCTGTGTGTGAGGAACAGATCTAGGATAGGACTCTCCCCATCACTATAAATAGCAGGAGCAGCCCCACCTCTGAGCCGAGCCTTTAAAAGCCCCAGCTCAGGAGTTGCAGCTTGTCCTAGGAGCTGATTTGGCTCTGGGATACTCTGCAGAAGCAGAGGAAGGAAGACTGCAGAGTTGGGATGGATCCCAAAGGCAAGACACAAGGTGGGAAAGCCCCAGGGTACTAAGACAATGGCACAGAGTAAACAAGGATGGAATGAGGTAACAAGCTGCTACATAAGTCCCTAGCCACAGGGCAGCCTCTTGACTCCCTGGGAGCAGGGTGTCCAAGGGCCAAGGGTGAAAACAAGGGGGCCTCCTTGGGTCCCACCTTTAAGCTACTCCTGACATTGCCCTGGGTAACAGATAGATCAAGGCTGCCCTGGAAGCCACCTGAGGCAAAATGTACAGACTTTGCACTTTATACTGTATATTAATATAAGTCAAAGTGTTACTGTCAGACTGCCAGGTTTTTTTTTTTATATTTTCACTAAGAAAAGAGTGGGATAGCCAGGCGTGGTGGCTCACACCTTTATTCCCAGCACTCGGGAGGCAGAGGCAGGCAGATCTCTGAGAGTTCAAGGCCAGCCTGGTCTCCATTAGTGAATTAGCCTAGCTAGGGCTACAGGGAGACCTTGTCTCAAAAAGACAAAAAAAAAAAAAAAAAGAGTGGGTAGTGGTGAATAGCAGTGAATGCTCCCACAGCATGACTGCACTTAATGCCACTGAACTGTATCCTTTAAAATTGATGATGGTAGGGGCTGGAGAGGGAGCTTGGGGGTTAAGAGCACTTGCTGTTCCTCCAAAGGACTGGGGTTCAATTCCCAGCAACCACATGGTGGCTCTGTCACCCTCTTCCAGCTTTTGTGGGCACTACATACATACCAGTAAACATACCAGAAATCAGAACACTTGTACAAATAAAAATATAAATCAGGGCTGGAGAGATGGCTCAGTGAGTGGTTAAGAGAACTGGTTGCTCTTCCGGAGGACCCAGGTTTCATTCCCAGTATCCACATGGCAACCAGCAACCACTGTAACTCCAGTTCCAGAGGATCTGACACCCTCTTCTGGCCTCCTCAGGCTCTGTATGACATGTAGGCAAAACACTCATAGACATAAAAAATTAAAATTAAAAAAATAGTTGATGATAAATGTTATGTTACATGTATTATTAATTTTTTCTTTTTTTGGTCTTTTTGAAACAGGGTCTCTCTGTAGTCCTAGCTGGCCCAGACCAGGCTGGCCTTGAATTCAGAGAGATCCACCTGCCTCTGCTGGGATTAGAGGCGTACGCCACCATGCCCATCCATGTTACATGTATTTTATCGAAATAAAAAGTGGGGAGGGAGGGGAGGAGAGAGGAGGAGGAAGGGAAAAAGGGGAGATTTGGAACAGCAAGACCAAGGGCTAATGCCAGCTCTGCCATTGCTGGCTATGTGGCTTTGAAGCATCAGACAGGGTTGTTGTGGAGATCTAGATCAGGGACTGGTATTCTGTGAGCACTAATCATGTGGCTAGTACTATGAATGATGTTTAGAGCTGTGCAGTGGTTGCCAGGGCAGGGCCTCAAGAATCAGAAACAGCCTGCTCAAGATCTACCCCACCATTCAGTCACAGAGTCCATGTCTCCTAACTCAGTCCTTACATCATGAAAGGAATACATACTAGGAGCCAGGATTCCAAAATGCTTGCCCCTAGAAGGGCTATTTTGACCAAAACACATGAAACTAGGCTTCAAAAAGAACCAGGCCTTTGCTGGTGTCTCTCTCCCAGCCTCCTACAATCAAGCCTACCTTAGATCTCTCCTCCCATCCCCCATAAGGACCCAAGGGCCCTGAGGGTAGAGTTAGAAGAGAAGAGAGGAGAGAAGAGAGGACTAGACGGGTGAGTACTTGGTAGATTTGAATTTGGAATGGCAAAGAAAAACTGATTCTGAATGTACAGAAAAACACAGGTCCTCACCGGAGCAGCAGAAATCCGGCGGTTCTTGCCAGGTGTTGCATTCTTTCGGTTAGTGATTCGGGAAGCATAAGTTCGGGGTGGCACCTGAGGGGGCATGGTCTTGCTCCGGGCCACAGGTTTTCCAGAGGTATCCTTGCTGAAGTCCATGGGCCCCCGGCCCTCCTTCCAGCCCCTGGTAGCATCCCACAGTATCTCTGCATCGTAAGTTGACTTCAAATTGAGCCTTGTAATTGCATCATTGATGCCATCATAGTCCACAGACCCCAGCAAGCGACGCTGTCCCCCACCACCTGGCAACTCGCCCTCTTCTGGAACTTGATGTCCCTGTTCCAGCAGTTTGTCTGACGGTTGTTCCACCAAAGAAAAATTGTTGATGGCATTAGGCTGAGAGATCTTGGAGGGTGAGGGTGATGCTTTTCTGGGAGGCAAGGGAGGGGCATCCCAGATAGAGACCCGGGGAGGGAGAGGAGGTGGGGACAGTTTCTTGCAAGACCCATCTAGGTCCCCTGGTCCTGAGGACAAAGAAAGCCTCCCATCTGAGCCATCAAAAATATAGAGATAGTCTCCAGACAAGGAGCCCTTGGACCAAGGATCTGGGCCAGGCTGGGAATCCTGGGAGGTAGAGTCAGGAAGCTCTTCTGGTAGAGAAATGGAGTTGTAATTGAGGGTGGGATCAGAGCCAGAGAGACCACGCAAAAGCTTGAGATCAGTCTGCCTACCTGCTGGTTTGCTATAGAAGTCCAAGGCTGGCTCGTCCCAGCTGATAAGAGAGGGTTCTGTGTTCTGCTTGGCCCTGCTCTCCTCCTTGTGGTGTCGGAGCCGAGACAGAGCATCATATTCCATCTGCAGGGCTTCAGCCATGGCCAATTCTTTGCGGCTGATACCCACCGACTCCAGGGACTTCCAGTGCTCTCCATTGCCCTGAGTTGAGGACATGGTGAGGGTGGGGGGCACAGGAGACAAAGATGCCTACTACTTCCTTCCAGGGTCAGGCCTGGTGGGCTGGTGCATATTGTCTGCGTACCTGCAGGCAAGGGATAAAAATGTCACTTAGTCACAAAGCAAGATTGATTAATAATCTGATATGGGTGACATAATCTGGGTCAGTGTCTGTTTCTTCAGTGCCCATAACAGAAGGAAAGAAACAAGATGGACAAAAAAAGAGATGCCAAGACAACTAATTTATTACATCCATTCAGTCATCATTCATGATGTCTCCATCTCTGGTTCTAACTTCTAGCCTTACATTTGTCGGACATGCCCCAAGAGAGGCACAAACATTCTTTCACATTTATTTGTTTATTTGTGTGTGGAGGGGTACTTATGTGCCATGGTGTGCATGTGTAGGTCAGAACACAACTTATGAGAGTCTGTTCAAGAGAAATACTTTCCAGGGCTGGAAAGATGGGTCAGTGGTTAAGGGCACTGGCTGCTCTTGCAGAGACCCTGGGTTTGATTTCCAGTACCCACATGGTGGCTAACAACCATTCATAACTCCACTTCCAGGGAAATATGACACCCTCTTCTAATCTCCTCAGGCACTGGATAACATGAATGCACTTACATATATGAGGCAATACAGTCATACAGACAAAAAAAATAAAAAGCTCAGCAGTTAAGAGCACTGCTGCTCCTGCAGAGGACCTTGATTCAATTTCCAGCATCCAAAATGCAGCTACCAACTGTTTGTAACGCCAGTTCCAGGAGATCCAACACCTTCTTCTGACCTCCACAGGCACTGCACAACATGGGTGCACTTACATACATGTAGGCAATACATTCATACTCAAAAAATAAAAATAATAAAATATTTTTTTAAAAAGAAAGGTAGTTTTCATCAGTCAAGAATAGGAGGAGAAAGCAAGGCCTCTCAGTCACAGCCCTCTAGGGTTAGGCGTGAAACTCAGTGGTACAGTGTTAATCCTACATGCCTGAGGTCCTGCGTTCCATCCCCAGCACTGCTTAAAAGTTTCCAAAAATTAAAAGGGAGAGCCAAGTATGGTGGCACACACCTTTAATCCTAGCAGTGAGGAGGCAGAGGCAGGCAGATCTCTGTGAGTTCCAGGTCAGCCTGGTCTACACAGTGAATTCCACGCCAGCAATAGCTACAGGGAAACCCTGTCTCAATAAATTAATAACAATAAAAGGGAGGCCAGTGAGATGGTTCAGTGGGTAAAGCACTTGGTGCACAAGCTGGACAGTTCAATCACCAGAATACATAGTAGAAAGAAAAAAACGACTCTTGAAAGTTGTCCTCTGACCTTCACACACTGTGGCATAAGCACACATACGCTCATAACTCATACATATGCATCATGTGCACACACAATAATAATAAAGCTAAAGGGGGGTTATATATCATTGAAAGAGGGGCTCTATGGACAAAGTTGAGTGGTAGAGCATTTATACAAGATGTGCAAGGTCCTAGGTTTGATCCCCAAAGCCATAAGAAAAAAAATTAAAACAGGCAAGGCAGCACAAGCCTGTAATCTAAGCATTCATGAGGTAAAGGCAGAAGGACCAAGAGGAGTTTGAGCCAGCCTGGGTAACATGAGAAACATTTCAAAAACAAAGATTAAAAAAGAAAAGAGGATAGTTCTCATACACAGCTAGTAGGAATGCAAAATGGCTCAACCACCTTGGAAAATAGGCAGCTTCTTACGAAGGTAAACATATGCCTACAAATGACTCAACTATACACACAGCCACATAGACTTGTACACAAATATTAAATACAGGACTTGGGGTGTAGTTCATCAGTAGAGTGCTTGCACAGGCTTTGAGTTTGATCTCTAGCACTGCAAATAAATAATAAACAAATAAGACTTGAATATTAAATGTAAGAAGCTTTACTTACAATGTCCCCAAACTAGAAATGACACAAAGGCCTACCAACAAGTGAATGATTCTTTCTAAAATGTGGTCTGTCTGGGCTGGGGCTGGTGCTCAGTTAGTAAAGTGCTTATCTAGCATGCATGAAACCCTGGATTCGCTTCACAGCACTACATAAAACCAGGTATGGTAATGTATACCCGAAATCCTAGCAATCAGAAGGTAGAAGCAAGAACATTGGAAGCTCAGTGTCATCTTAGCTACATGAATGAGTTCAAGGCCACTCTGAGTCACATAAGACTTTACCTCAAACAAAACAAAGTGGCATATTTCCATATGTATAATTGAATGCTACTTAGCAATGAAAATTATTATTATTATTATTATTATTATTATTTATTGTCTTTTTGAGACAGGGTCTCCCTGTAGCCCCAGCTGGCCTGGAACTTACTATGTAGACCAGGCTGGCCTTGAACTCACAGAGATCCTCTTGCCTCTGCTTCCCAAGTGCTGGGATTAAAGGTATGCACCACCATGTCTGGCCTGAAAATTAATTTTTGACAAATGTAAAAATCATGGGTGAGTCTCAAATTAATTCTGCTGAATAAAAGCAGCCAGACAAAAAGAGTATGAGTATGTACCACTGCATTTACAGGAAATTTTTGAAAATGCAAATTGACTGACTAAGAGAAAAAAAAACAGATGGGTGCTTATCCGGGGGAAGGAAAAGGGAGAATTATCATAGGCCATACAGGAACTTTGGGGAGTCGTGAATATATTCATTACCTTTTTTTTCTGCAGTGCTAGAGATCAAAACTATAGCTTCATGCATGCTAGGCAAGCACTCTACACTGAGCTATGTCTGCAGCCCATTCATTATCTTGGCTGTGGTGGTGATTTCACCAGTATGCTCATATGCAAACTTATCATGTAGTACACTTTAAATATGTGCTGTTTATGACATGTCAATTAAACCTTAGTAAAACTATAAATGTACAACACAGCCCTACTCAGCAGACCTTATAATTACTCAAAGTTCAATAACAGGTGAGACATGGTACCTGATTATAGATGTGCCAAAATATTGAAAGTCATCCTTAGGAAGCCATACAGGACCCCCCAGGTCAGCTGCCTTTAGCTACAAGCAGCCTTTTACTTCCTCCAGGGTTAGTATCTTCTACTTCCAAAGTCACAAAATAAAAAGACTTGAGAGGGCTGGGCGTGGTGGCAGAAGCAGGATCCCTGTGAGCTCAAGGCCAGCCTGGTCTACACAGTGAGTTCCACAGGCCAGCTGGGGCTACAGGAGACCCTGTTTCAAAAGGACCAAAAAAAAAAAAAAAAATTAAATTAAAAAAAGATAGAGACCCTGAGCTAGTGCTCATAATGACAAGGTTAGTCAGTCTCGTGGTTCTCAACCAACCTTGCTGTACCTTAGAAACACAGTGAACTTTTCAAAAGCACTAAATTCATACACTCTCAATAGGTTCTGACTTAACTGGTTTGTGGTAGGGTAATGGTATTTAACAAAAGAAAACAAAATTTTCTGGAGTGATGGCTCAGAGGTTAAGAGCACCGGCTGCTCTTGCAGAGAACTTGAGTTCAAATCTCAGCACCCACACGGCGTCTAACAACCATCCATAATTCCAGTTCCTGGGAAGTCAACACTCTCTTCTGTCCTCTGCAGGCACTGCAAGACATGGGCACACTCACAGGCATAATACTCATACACATAAAATAAAAATAAATTATTAAAAAACTTTAAAAAAGAACTTTTTTAGAGGATCTTAGGAATCTGTGTCTCTGGTTGGGGGAGGGTAGTATGAAGCAGTCACTTCTAACAGCAGCATCAGAAAAGTTCATAATTTCAAAGAATATCAGATCCTGTTCATTCTATATTACAGCTTCACCCACGCATAACAAAATATCTGAAACATGTTTTCCTCATGATCACAAATTTGAAAACACAAGAAAGTTCACAGATCTCATGAGGGTTTTGTTTTGCTTTTTGAGACAATGTCTCATACAACCCAAGCTGGCTTTGAACTGGTTATATAGCTGAGAATGACTTTGAATTTTTGATCTTCTGGCCCTTACCTCCCAAGTGCTGGAATTATAGATGTGTTCTACTATACCTAGCTAGGGATGCTAGGGATGGAACCCAGGGCCTGTTCAAACTATGCAGATACTTCATACTCAACCATATCCCAAGCCTCATCAGTTTTTGTTTTTTTGGTTTTTTGGGGTTTTTTTATTTTAATGGTCTTTTCCAGACATGGTCTCATGTAGTTCAGGCTGACCTGGAACTTAACTATATAGACCAGGCTGGCCTTGAACTCACAGAGGTCCACCTGCCTCTGCCTACTGAGTGCTGGGCCTAAAGGCATGTGCCACCATGCCCATTTTTGTTTGCTTGTTTGTTGTTTTTGTCTTTTTGAGACAGGGTCTCCCTGTAGCCCCAGCTGTCCTGGAACTCACTATGTAGACCAGGCTGGCCTCGAACTCACAAAGATCCACCTGCCTCTCCCTCCCAAGTGCTGGGATTAAAGGCGTGCACCACCACGCCCCGCTGTTTGTTTGTTTTGTTTTGGGGTTTTTTTGGTCTTTTTGAGCTCCAGCTGTCCTGGAACTCACTATGTAGACCAGGCTGGCCTGGAACTCACAGAGATCCACCTGCCTCTGCCTCCCAAGTGCTGGGACTACAGGCATGCGCCACCACACCCGGCTGTTTGTTTTTTAAGGCAGGGTCTCACTACATAGCCCTGACTGGCCTGGAACTCACTATGTAGATCCACCTGCAACTGCTGGGATTAAAGGCATGTGATACCCGGCCCACAGTATCATATTCTTTTTCTTGTAAATCTTATTTGTTTATATTTTATGTATATGAGTGTTTTGCCTGCATGTATGTAAGTGCACCACGTGTGTGCACTGCCTAAAAGGCCAGAAGAGGGTATCAGATCCCTTGGAACTGGAGTTAAGGGTGTTAGCAACCATGTGAGTTCTGGGAACTCAACACAGAGCTCTTAACCACTGAGCCATCTCTCTAGCCACAGCCTAACATATATTTTCTACCACCTTGGTTTTTCTAAATGGTCTCCCTATAGTCATAGCTGGCCTGAAATTGGCTACGTAGACCAGGCTGGCCTCGAACTCAAGAGATCCTCCTGCCTCCCCAGTGCCCAAGGGGATTAA